TATTTTTCATAAGACTGATTATATCTCAACATATAGAATTTGAAGCGCCAATAACTATATAATTTCTTCATACCTTGACCAAAAGCTGTTATAACAATAACATAAATAACACCAAATGTTGCAATATCTCCTGTAATCATTTCAAATATCATAACAATAAATGCTCCAGTTAAAGCATAAATTCTTCCAAAAAAAAGAAAATATAAAAATGTTCCAGGTACAGCAAGTGATACAAGACCATCTTCAACATAACCAAATTTAACATTTTTTGTAGTTAAATAAAGTATACGAAATGGTACAGCTAGAATTATCAGAAGACATGAACATTGATATACTAGTTTTTCTGGGTAACTTTTCTAAAAAAAACAACCGAAATTTATATTGAAAAAAAGAAACTAAATGTATTAATTTCTTACTAAATTTTGTATATAAGCACTATATCCTTGTAAATAAATTTCTTTTGCTAATAGTTTGACTAAACTCGTAATGCATCCAATTAATACACATACTTCAGCTATATGACAAAATATCTTTTTAACTAATGACTGAGTATTTTTTGGATTACGTAAAAATACTGCTGTACTTAAAAAAAATAAATGAATACAAAGTAAAATTAATTGTCGAACAAAATTGACCTTAAATTAAAACGAAAAAAAAATAGATTAATTTTAACTATCTAAGGAAAAGAATTTACTCGAGCAAATGATGACCATTTATCATTTAATAAACGTTCAATGACCATATTATCAAGCATAGCTAAATGATCTTCTGTTTTACCATTTACAATAGATGTTAAAGACGAATTCCAATCTGTAATATTAACAAAAAAATAAAAACAAATAAAACTTTCAACAAACCTATATCTCCACTATCTGTTATAGTATCGATACCACGTAATGGATATGTACAACATTTTATATTTGAATAACGCCAAATTTCCTTTTAAAATATAAATAGAATTAAAATTATATTTTCACTTATGCGATTAGGTATTTCGAAAAAGAGTTTTAGGTATAAATAAAAACATGTCTTATCAGTGATGGACTTAGGGGGGCCCCCTTCCGAATTTTTTTTGATTTTTTACAGCAAAAATGAACGAAAAAATAGGTTTTAGCCAAAATCGCCCCTCATACTAAAAAAAAAACAAAATCGCGCCCCCCCCCCCTTCCAAAATCCTAGATCCACTACTGTGACTTGTATATTTCACTAAATGAATTTAACACCTCCTTTGCAAGAAAAACAAAGTTTTTTTTCAATTTCAATTAATGAATAGAATCGATCGAGGGGATTCCGGATCCGGAAATTTCAGACTCTATCGGCTTCACTGAAGATAGGTATTGTATATTACTGAATAGTTTCTAATTGGATCGTTTCGTACTGATTTATCAATCGAAGTTTTATAACAATTCAAAAGGAATCTAATTGTACTAAAGAAATATTTTACCACATGAGATAATTCTAAACATTCAAGAAAAAGTTCTCGTCGACCAATTTTAGCAGCTAATGTTAATGTAGTTAAACCTTCATTATTACGAATATCTGTAAGTGCTTTTTTAACTGGATGTCGAATAGCATGATTAAACATATCCTAAAAGAAATTTTATCGAATTATTTAATTAATAACTATTTTTGTTTTGGATAATTACTGATCGATCACGTATGACAAGCATATGTAAAACAGTATTACCATATGAATCTTGCATATTCGGATCGGCACCATGATCAATTAAATAATCATAGATTTCTGTATAACCAAATGCAGCTGCAAATGCTAATGGATATTCACCATAATATGCATGAGCTTAAATATGATATATTTAATAAAGAAAACGACAAAGGTAATTTAATATACTTTCAGTGGTTGCATTTTTTAAACTAATTGGTTTATTTGCTGAATCATTTCGATTAAAAAATTTTGAAGTTCGCTTTTGTTTACCGGATTTTGTTTCTTGTTTAGTTCGATTTGGTAGTGAAGGATAAAAATCTCCAATAACACGTTGATGAACATCAACACCATGTTTAACCAAGAGTTTAACTGAATTAATATCATTGTAAAAAACCGCAATATGAAGAGGTGTTTCTCCTGAAATAAATCAATAATTTTTTTTTCTTAAATCTCCATTATATCTCACCAATAACAGTTAACTGATTAGTATTATTTGGTGCTATGCCAATACCAATTGCATTCGGATCTTTTCCATTTGATCCATTATGATTTTTCTCAATTGGATCTACATGAGATACACGATGAAAATCATGGCTATTTAAAGCAACTGGTCGTCCAAAAACATCAAGTAAAGCAGTATTTGGAATTTTAATAGCCTTCATATATTAATAGGAAATAATGATCAGTAATAAGAATAAGAAATGATTACCATATGTTTTTGTTCGTTCGAACTACAATTAAATATTCCTGGTGACAATGTATTAGGAAACAGAACTCGAGAAAAAAAAAATTTTTTTCTTTTCTTCTTTTTCCTTTCTGATATGTTAAAAATTGATTAAGAGAAAGAAGACAAAATATATATTGAACGTTCTTTTTCTCTCTCTCTCTATTATTTTCATAAAGTTAGTACACTGAAAAACATCAAATTAATGCTTTTTCTTTTCTTACATTCTTTGATAGTTCCATTTTTAATGTATTCTTATTGGAGACACTTCTATTAACATTATTTTTCACGGCCGAAGTTGTTATTACTATTACTAGGAGCAAATATGAAAGAAAAAATCATTTTTTTTGATTCGTCATGTTCAATCGTTTAATTACTATCGAGAAACGAGAAGTAGAGAATAAATGTATCTGTCAATATGTTTAACTATACTAATATTAAAAAATAAATCATCATAGGAACAATCGTGTGTTTTCAATAAATGATGAGATATTAAATTGAATGTAATAATAAAAGAACGAACTAATTCTGATTGCTACAAATCATTGTAAGATATAAATAGTAATTGAACTTATTGAAAATTACTTCAAATCACGAGCTTTGATTTTCAATCGTTTGCAAATTGTATTCTTAATAGTTTCTATTGATTTGTAGTAAGTCGATGAAAGCTGATTTTTCTCCGACGCAAAAGAAGATGATTGTTATACCTTCAACTTTTCAACGTATAACAAATGAAAAAAATAAATCTTTCTTTCTAATGATATGAATTATCCTAAAATCAGTTGAACTTGATTATCTCCGGAAAATAAAGAATCGTCATAGAATTATTCTTTACAATTTTTGTCCTACATACAGCTTCATTCGAAAAAAAACTTGCACAAAATTGAATGTTTTGTATAACAGTTTTCTCACGGTTAGAGAGTAACAACAAATTTGACTTTTTTCAAGGATATATATTCGTTAGTTGTACTACACGTTGGCTTATATAAAAGTGTGATTTCTGTTCTGTTTGATATATAAAGATTTAATCATGACATCTTGAGGGGTGGGTGTGTAGGTAAGAATCAAATATAGTCATGAACTACATTTGCTCTCTCATACACCCACACCGACGCTCACCACTTACGCCTACACCCCATACTCGAAAGATGTCCAGGCAACGACTTGCCTCTTCCAGTATCTGTCCTAACGTCTTGATCAGGTATCTATTTGCATATGCTATACGAATTTGTTTTTCATACAATTGGTATCAATATAAACAACAAGTAACGCTCGCGCGGAGACTCACTCAGCTCTTTCTCGTAGAAATGTATCCTCTTCGCATTTACGGGAAAAATAATTGAAAACCGTGAAAAATCAATTTTCGATGTTTTTTTGACCTTGCGGACAGACAAGCAAACAAACAATTTATTTCTGCTGGGCTCTTCTCTACGAGAAAGAGAATATATGTTCACACGACATGTGATTTTTTTATTAAAGAAATACGTTTAAGTTCATTTTACGATATATTAATAGTTGAATGCTTTGAGTGCAGTATACTTTAAAATTTAACAGGATAATTAATTATTTCTAAATTCATTTTATTTTAAAGAAATTTTACAAGTATTACATATTATTGAATCAGAATCGATATCGAACTGTAACAAAATTAAATCGTCTATATATTAACATAGCTATGACATATACGAAACCAGCTAGAAATAATCCAATAAACCATGCATACACATAAATATCATCGAAAAAATTATGTTCACGAGTTTTATGAAGATCTAAACTTCTTATAAATCCTGGCATATTTGGTATAATACCAATTATAAGAGCTAAAATAGCAATCCAATTTATAGCTCGACCAGTACATAATGGATAAGTATCACAATATAAATCTACAATATCTAAGTTTCTTTTTCGTATTAAATAATAATCTCCAATAAGTATTCCAGCAATTGGTCCTAATAATGCCGAATAACCAATTAACCATGTAAATACATATTCTTCGGAACTTGCTAATAATTTCCATGGCATAATAATAATGGCTATTACACACGTTATTAAACCACCAATTTTAAATGTAATAAATCGTGGACATAAATTAGCAAAATCATTAGCTGGTGATACAACATTTGCTGCTATATTAACTGACACAGTTGCTATTAATATACCTATTAATGATACAATAGCTATAATAATACGCACTGGTGTTGAAAAAAATGCTTGAGAAGGAGAAGTTATAATTGAAAGTAAATAAACAGGATCCCATAAATTTCCTGAAACATTACGAAATACTTCTTGTGCTGAACTTGTTATAATAACTGCCATAGCACTAAATACAAGCATAGTTAATGGTAATCCAAGTGATTGTCCAATAATTTGATCACGTTGACTTCGACCAAATCGTGTAAAATCAGGAATATTTAATGCAAGAGTTGACCAAAAACCAACCGTACCTATAAAATAAATGAATATATAATCTCTAATCATTTTTTATTCATATTCAATTAATACTTGTTAACGAAGGTATAAATACAATCCAAAATTCATGAAATGTTTGAAATTTTGATGGTCTATGTAACATAGAACCTAAACCTTTCGCTTTTACAACTAACCAGACAAGAAGAATCGCAGCCATAATAAGTACAATTGGTGCTGCCCAATTTTCAAATTTTTTTACAGCTTCCATTCCATAACAAATAATTATAACATGTATTGATAAACATAATAAAAATGTTATCCAACTTGGAATTGATAAACTAAGGAATGTCCATCCATTTCCAAGATGTGCATAATTAGGCCAAACAGCTACAACAAATGTTTTAAGTGCTTCACCACCTAAAAATACATTAATACCAAGCCACTAGAACATCGGATGAAAAAAAAACAGAAAATTGTTTTGTTTTTAAATAAAAATTTCTAGTCTATAATAACTTACACCACAACCAACAAGTGCTCGTAACATAGCTGGTATATTCGCACCCCATGTTCCAAATGCAGATCGAGCAAGAACAGGAAATGGAATACCATATTTTGTTCCTGGTTGAGCAATAAGTAAAATAGGTATAAGTATAATTAAATTTCCAATACCAATTGTAAGCAATGCTTGAAACCAATTCATACCATTTGTTATTAAACTACCACATAAAGCATAAGTTGGTAGACAATGACACATTGATATCCATAATGCAGCATAATTCCATGTTGTCCATGTTCGTTTTGATAATGGTGTTGGAGCAAGATCTTTACTATAAAACCGACTGTTGAGTAATTCACTAGGAAAAATTGATGGTGAAGATCTATTATGTGTAGCAAAGGTCACCATCGTTGTGTATGTTTTTATTTGAAATGCAATGATATTTCTTTTTCTCTTCTTATCGTTTTATTCGAATGAATTAGAATTTTATCGATTTGTCTTATCCTTCTATTCATAAAACATCAAACATGTTTACACATGCCTTTAGGGTATGATTTTAATATATGACAAATTCATTTATCATTATACAAAGACTATAATTGTGAATCATTTTCTCTTTCGTTCGTATTTTTTTTCTCTTTTGAAACTTAATCAATTGAAAGAATTCGATTTTATTTTCTCTATGATAATTGTAACCAATGCGATATAAGTATATATTATCATAATTATATATATGCGAATTTATTTAAATAAACGAATAGTGCTATTATTTAATCCTTGAAATAGAAGGACAAATGAAAAATATTCCAATGATAGATATCGTTCTATAACATAGTGCACGAGATTTATTTATTTGTAAAAAAATTGGAAATAACTATTATTGAATTTTAAAATAGATGGCGACTATTAATTTTGAACAGGTACAGGATAGATTGGTTGTTCTCCATTCATAACACGTAAGATATCTTGAATTGCTTTTGTACGTAAAGCAATTTGTGATTCTTGAGTGTACCAAGCAGCATGTGGTGTTAATTGAATACAATCAAGTTTAATTAATTCTGAATCAATTTCTGGTTCATTTTCAAGTACATCAAGTGCAGCATAAGACAATTGTCGATTTTTTAATGCTTGTATAACTGCTTGGGTATCAACAAGTCCTCCACGACTAACATTTATTAGTATGGGTCGTCGTTTCATACGATTAATTGAATCAGTTGAAATTAAATGATAATTCGTTGTTGTAAGTGGAAGATGAAGTGATATAATATCACATTGATCAAATATTTCATCAATCGAAGTACAATTTGATGGTATTATAGGATCATAAGAAAAAATTTCTTTAACAAATGGACGCATTTTATTAGCAAAACATGATCCAATACGTCCCATACCAATAACACCTAAATTTAATGTATTTAAACTATGTAAATCATTACCAGCAATTTCATGATTCCATATATTTTTTTCAACAATTGATCGATGATAGATTGAAAGACGACGATGTGCAGCAAAAAGAAGAGCTACGGCATGATCAGCAACTTCATTTGTACCATAATCAGGTACATAACAAACGGTAATATTATGTTGAAAACATGCTTTAATATCAATAATATCGAAACCAACTCCTAAACGAGTAATAACACGACAAGAAGACGAGGTATGTTTAATGATTTCTTTCGTAATAGGTGTATCAATAGTAATAATAGCTACTAGAAGTGGATTTGAAATATACAAAATAAGATCAGTATCATTAGAAATAACTATGAGTTCGTATGGAGTTGATGCTAGAAGATTATGTTCAATTGAAAAATCATGAAAACCTGGTTTTATTAACAGAATTTGTTGTTTATTCGTCATTCTTTTATTGAAATAAATACGTATATTCTTTTTTTATCAATTGCTCTTTTCAAAAGATCATGTAAAAAAACACGAACTATTATTTCTAATTTAAAGAAAAGGTCATATGATATATAAATGAATTCATGTTATTTCAATAATAATATAATTTCTCTATCGAGAAGTATACTATTATATTATTACTTATCTGATTGAAAAATCTCGTATCGGCTCAATTTTTTTGATCTCACACATGGACTGTATTTATTCACGTTCTACAATTATCTGATGATAATTAATCTAGTCAATCAGATAACACGAGGAAGACAATTAGTAATAATATATACTTATGTTTACTGTCACATGTATGATTCTATTTTTAAAATAATTGCTTATTATAACATTTTTATACTCCAAGTTCAATCGATCATATCTTCAATTGAGTAATTAGACCTAGAAACATCGAATCAATGGGTATTGTCTCAACATCCGGAAAATTTTTAAGAAAGAAGAGAAATCATTTGATTTCAAGAGAGGTGACGTAGTTCACTTTTTACTAGCTACCAATAAAGAAAGTCTCACGAGATGCTCATCGCCCTCGAAATATTTGGCAAGTAGAATTATGAAAGCTCATTTCTATTGGCAAGTGTTTTGATTTTAACTAGAAGGTAAGGGTATGGATGCAACACCCATACTCTCAAGGTGCATGTCTGTGTATATTTGCTAATAGACGTGCAGAGCACAGTGAAGTAGAATGGCACTCGGTAGACGATAATCATAGTCGACGTAGACAACCATAAACATTTATAAAAGAATATTATCTTTCTCTTCTGTTGGAATGATATCAGAAATTTTCCGGATTTCAAGACATATTCGAATCAATGCAGTGATTTTCTTGTATGTCGTTAGATAAAAAATTTTCTTTTCTCAGAGTCAAATTTTATTTCTTCTAATATGAATGTGTAAGTAAAAAACAAAAACTCCCAATAAAAAAAAAAATCTTCAGTTTAATAAAACCATTTGTTTATACGAAAGAAACGAAAAATATTAGTTCGATAATGGAATGATTATGTACAAAAAAAAAATGAGAAAAAAAAGAGATTACACCGGCATATCGGAGTAAAACAGATCTCTTATATTTTTTTCACAGGTAGAAATTTAAAAAAAAGAAAAGAAAGGAAAGCCTAAGCTAAAACCAGATGATTGCTGTCTAATTAAATTTATCGATTATTATTTGTAGTTGATTTTCATATTTCCATTCTAAAATAAAATACGAATTTTGATCATTAAAAAAGTTCACGAAAAAATCTGAGTTAAAATAAGCAGGCACATTCTTTAATATCAAATAATAATAGCAGCATGTCATTATTGGGTATAGTGCAAGCATAATAATAATAATATTATTATCGTTTTGAGAGACTTCCTACTTGAAGTATAGCTGGACATTGTTCAACAATTTTAACGAGTAAACCATCTGTATAGTGTTCAAGATCTTTTACACGTGTATCACGTTTTTTTATTAGATCTGTTTGATATGCAATAACATGAAGAAGTTCCTGATGAGAAATAGAACAGAATAATTCAATGATTTAAATTAAGAAAAAAAGTCCTACTTCACGATCAAGATAATCAAGTTCTTGACGAATTTTTGGATTAATGGCTGTACTTTTAACATTATCGTAACCAAGTACTGAAAGACTATTAGTTGGAGATTTTTTCGATATTGGATTTGGAGATGAATCTAAAGTTGATTTAAGTATATTTAGGGAAAATATTTTAATTGCATACTTTTTAATGCCGGTTGAACAACAATATCTGGTAAACCTGCATTTTTCTTTTGACTTGATGGCGTATGATTATATGTATTGATAGGTTTATTATCAGGCTAAATGGATGACAATTAAAATGTTTTATTTTGCTCTTCTTTTTTTTAACAAATTTATTTCGATATTCTTCTACAAAAATAAACTCAAGTTTTACCTCAAAAAATGATTGTTGCATAATATCATTTCTTGGTTGAATTTTACGTCTTACAGAAGAGCGCATACTGGATACTCGCTAAATTAAATTAGGTAATTTTTTTCGTATGGAAAAATGCTCATAGGGAAAATACACTGTACACATACATACAATAGATAAATGAGCAATATAAATTGAATAAAACAAAATAAAAAAATAATTTATATATAAATGAACGATAGATATGTATGTATGTATGTATGTGTGCGTGTATTTTCCAGAGATAAATACCTCTAGTTTTCCTATTATTTCATCGATATCTTCATCGGTTGAATCATGATTCGTTTCTGATTGTTGTTGTTGTTGTTGTTGTTTTGGAGGTAGAGTAATGGAAGGTGTTGGATTCGTATCAGCTTTTATAGATATAGAAGTAGATGGTGTATAGATATCATTAGAGTAAGAAAGTTTTGAATTTTTTTGTTCTTTAGTATTTGGAGTTGTTGTTGATTGTTGTAGAATAGGTGCAGTTCGTTTTGTTTTTTTTTCTTCAACTGGTTGTTTTAATCTATTGAAGCAATTATCAAAATCGATTTCTTCATCCGCTTGTTTTTTTGTATTGAAGATATTTTCATCCGTATCAAGATTTTCTTTGATTGTTGATAAACCAAAAAATGAATCGGATCTTTCATTTTCTTTCGATTTATTTAATGAAGTTTTATAATCATTAATTGAATCAAATGCTGCTTCAATATCATCACCTGTTACAGACGAACTTCTACTACTATCACCCAGTAAAGGTGCTTTTGTTGTTATAATTGTTGGTACATTCATTGGTGAAAATGGTTCTTTGGTTTTATTTTCATTTGAAGTAGCTTTTGGTAAGAATTTATCATCAACATTAACCTCACGATATTGTTGTTGTTGTTGTGGAGGCGGAAATTGAAAATGTTCGGCTGGCGATGGTGCTGATGTATCATCACTACCATACATAGATGCAGAATCAAGTATTGATGATGTTTCATAATCAGATGTTACTGAACGACGTGACGAATAAGGTGTTACGCTTCCCAATGTTGTACCAAGACCAAGAACTGGAGCACGAGATTTCTGTTTAAAAAATAGGTTTTGTTCAGTTCTTCCGAATCGGAAAAAAAACCAATAGAAAATATCTGTAGGAAGAAAACCCACCCACACATACATACATACACAAGAGATAAAGAATTTTTATAATCTAAATATTTACTTTTCTATACTAACGATTTATATCTCAAAAACAAAAAAGTCAACGCTTATATAAAAACTAATTCTATCAACATACCTTTTTTGATTGTTCGGTTTGATTATTATTGTTATTATAGGACATACTATTCAACGACATATGCGACCCACTAAACGATGTTGTCTAAAAATAAACAGTAATTAATAACCGTTAGTATGTATTAATTAAATATGATATAGGTGAAGTCTCTTGTCTTATTTTCTTTTTTTCTTAGTAAACAAAATCATTTTATTGATTTTATTCGTGATAAAACTCGATAACGAAAAATGTTTTCGTAGATATTTTGAGAAAATTCGAATAGAAATCAGAATTTATTTACCTCCGATATAGAATCATCGAGAAAATCACGTCCATTAGATGAACTAGCATCGTCACCACCACCAAGTCGTTTACGTTGATCACCTAACTAAAAATAATAGTTTAAGTATTATAACATACGAATTTTTTTTTGTGAATATTATACTTGATTTTCACCACTATATTTATCGTGTCGTCGATGTTTTGATGCTGATTTTAATTTATCGCCTAATGAATGTTTAATATCTTTGAGTGACAAATGTTTTTTTTTCGTTGCTAAATCAAATACACTTCCTGTTGTATTATTCTTTGAATAAAATTGTAATGAAACTTCAATTTCTCCTCTATCTTTATCTAATTTTCCTTCTTTATTTGTTAATTTATACCAACTAAAATCGAATAAAATTAATTTATTATTATTATTATTCTAAACTTCTTTTACGCTTTATGAACATGATCATAATCTTGTAAATCTCGTAGAGAAACATATGCACGACCAATAAAATCTCCTTTCGATAAGGAACTTTTATTATTATGAAAAACAGTTAATTTTATGGTCGCATCATCGACAATTGGCCTAAAATATTCTTTTAAATTTTTTTCAAATCAATCAAAATTTTTTGCTTACATATCACATTGTTCATGCCAATCAGGTGTTGATGTTTTTTCACATACCGCTGTAGCAAATTTTTCCTTTCCCATAGAAATGATACAGAAAGGATCAATTCCTGTTTAATGAAATAAAATTTTTATGTCTTTATATTAATTCGAAATATGTACTACACACCACCAGTTTTGCCTTTATCATATAAATTTCGAGCTTGATTAACTATTTAAATAATCAATAAAAATTTTATTTTTTTGGTAATATTTAATCTTACCAGTACAACTACAGTAATTTGGACTTAGCATCATTTTTGACATGGTGATTTTTTTTCTAAGAGAATCTTATATGTAATAAAAAGTAATAGCGTTTAATGTTATTCAGTATGAGTTACTCAGCATATATACTTTGGCGACTGACGCATCTCTAACAACAAAACATCACGAAAAAGAAAGGAGAGAAAAGAAAGAAAAGAAAAAACCTTTTCTTTTTCTTTCTTATGTATCTTCTATTTATTTTATCGTTGCCCGCTGTCGTAAAATAGAGACATAAGCAAAAAAAGAAAACTGAATATATGTTTAGAGTAAGCAAACATTCGATGACGAAAAGTGTAAGGCCTGATCAACCAACGCAAGTATACACTTCTTTCTTTTCTTATATCATCAAATTCAAACGTTTTTCTTCGAGAAAAAAAAATAAAAAAAAAATAATGCTGTGATTCATTCGATACTCAAAGTACGTAACAAAAATATGTGATGAATGATTACAAAATAACATCGATTATAGAAGGAGTAGAAAAAAAAGGTATTCAGGTGTGAAATAATATCCTCAGACGATAAAACTTTTATGAAAAGTATAGATTAAATCATTCTGCGTCATTAGTATGATGTCTTTGGTAACCAACCGAGTGAGACAACGCCTCTGGATTAAATCAATAAAACAGCGTAGAATGTATGGATTATATATGTACGTGCAAATGATCGAGAATACGTGTGAAGCTAAACTCGTTTACCCCGCAAGAAAATTAAACGTTATAAGTAACCTTTTAAAAGAAACCTTTACTTCTCAATGACAATCCGTCTATTGTTATACGGCTTTGTTTATTATAAAAATTATTCGTTTATAAAAAGAAAATTAAGATGTAATAATACGTTTTGAATCACGCGGAAATATTGATGCTTTTCTTGTACCGTTTAATCCTAAGTAAATCATAAATACACGTTCTAATTTTACCATGAATATGTTGTAAATCAGAAACTAAATCTACCGAATCCGGCATTGTATAATTAATGGATATTTGTCAAGAATATATCAATCTATATTATACTAAATAAAACTAATCGTAGAAAGAAATTATTGTTAATAATTCTATCTCTTTTAAACCATGATATTCAAAATTCGTGTAGATAAATCTCCGATTGTATCAAATACTACAAGATCAAGATCAATAAATTTAGTTAAACCTTGACATCGATTGACATATGTCGCACAAAATATCAAGTAAATGAAAATTCAATATTCATATAATTTTTTTTGTAAAATCAGCTGCTACTGCCATTTGTTTATAAAACCTTGATGTTTATGCTGAATACGCATTGCTTTTAAATATAAGTCACTTGAAGTAATTTAATCATATATAAATTTTGATCTATGAATTTGAAGAAAACCTTTCCTATTAAGAATACCGCGAAATAATTTACACACATCAACTTCTATTCGAAAAATCAGTTGATTATTAATATTCTCATTGACAGAAATCATAACTTGAATTTTTTCTGATTGATGATGATGAATAATAAAAAAATATTATTTATCCTTAGCATGATTTTGACGAAGACGACCATGAATCGTTTATATCATGTAATGACAAAAATTAATGATAATATACTGTCATTTTCTTTACCAAAATCTCCCTTGATTAATGTTGAAGTCATATCGAAGAATTTGTAATAGGGTATGAGTGTCTGCATTCTTCTCATTCATTACGCACACTCACACCCTCAAACAGATAAAGATTGATTTGTTAACTCGAAGTATAGACCTATAATTATGCTTGTCAAGATATTATTCGACATATCTTACTAAGACTCATTAACACTTTTGCTATTATATGTTCAATGAATTATGAGTGAGATCTTTTCCTTTAGTTATGAACTTGATCATACTCATGTCTATTTGAATATTGATTATTCTAAATTTGAAGTACATACTGAATAATACAAACAAGGAAAAGATTCATAATGACATATGAAAATCTATTTCTATTTACTGTAGTTTATTCTACATGATAAAACTAAGTTTTTATTCGCCTGTTAGTCTTATAACTTTCTTCTTTATTTGATTGGTAACTTTTGAAAAATGAGAATAAACAAAGATAGATAATATTTGAAAATCAAAACAATCGGTAATATTTAATGACATTTTTGTGTTATTTAAACCTTTTCTTTCGATAGAACAAAATCAGTTCTCTTTTATAATATAAAAATGAAGAAGTGAATGTATTGTTCTCACTGATGATCTATAGCAGTCAAACATATTAATAAAAACTGACCTATTATTTGAGTACGTTTACATTTTTCATTCACAACAAAATGTTTATTTGATGATGATTTCAAACAACAGATATTTAGATTATCTCAATTTATCGGACTGGAAAAAAGAGTAAGTGTTTGTAATTCTTTTTATATTCTCTTTCTCTCTCTGAATACTATATACGTTTGAATAAATGTCTTTGTTCAAAACCAGAAAATTACATTCACTTTTAATAGTCTTCTTTACGATACGGACAGCACAAGGTGAAATTTTTCAAAGAAGCAATTGCACATATCACTTTGCTAATGCATCGCTCATGGTCATATGAATAGCAAACTTATACTCAAAATATATGCTCTACTCTCTCTCTATATATATACGTATACATGCGTATCGTTAAAGCATAGACCGTTGGTGAAGCAATTGCTTCACTTTTTTTATTGCTGATACATCGTCTATCTTTCTTCTTTTCACGTTCTTCACCAAACCGTTACCGTGTACTTGAAAACCTAATCATCTATTTCGTTACTCAATCATTTCTTTTTTTTTTCTTTTTGGTTGTTAAAAAAGAAATAAGTCTACCTGTATCGTTTTGCTTGAATTACCTGATGTTATTTTAAAGCTTATTAATAAAAAAAATAGTCTACCATAGATTTATACTAAGAGAAATATTCTTTTATTGTAAAAGAATGATAACAAAAAAGTTCTTTACTTATAGTATTCGCTTAACTACTGCCATCTGTTTCTATCTTGTATTTAATTGGATTATTTTTCTAATCCAATAAAAAACTTTTTCTTCTCCTATTCAAATATGTCAACAATCTGTTTGTTTTTATTTCTTTTTTTTCTTAAAAAAACGTGCAAGAATGTAAAAAAAACTCGATTGATTAATCTCTCTTTTGTTTTCAAGTAAATTTACTTTGACTAAAATAATATTTCTACTAAATAATTACATACACATTCTCGCTCTCTCTCTCTCTCTCTCGCCTTTTTTTTCAAGTATTTAATGTATTCATCGTCTCATTGACAGCACATTTTTCTTTCAAGTATTCCCTTAAGGCTTTTGTTATTTGAACAATAGAAAATAAGAAGAAAAAATATTTTGACTAACTATTCATATTTTTAGATTTATTTTTTATTCTTAATGTCCTTGAATGGATAATTTATCATGTCACATTTGCCACCAATATATAATTTATCTATAGTTAGTTTAAATCCATTATCAGGTAAATCATGTTTATGTAAACGTTTAATTGATTCAAATATTGATAATTATCAATTATTTTTATCAAATAATAATAATAATTCAAAACTATTACCATGGTTTTATTGGGGTTCAATAAAACATCGACGTTTAGATGAAAAACGTGAAGCTATATTTCATCTTATTGAACATTCATCAATTGATATTGATGATAATGAAACAATTGAGAATTATTTTAAACGTCTAACAATCTTAACATTACGTACAGATGATAAAAAAACATTTCCAAAAGAAAAAATCATTATTGATGGATTTGTATGTATCTATGATTTATCATTAAATAAATCTATATCAGATTTTCTTATACTTCTACATACATTATTAAAAACACGTCGTTCAATAATAATTGTAACAACAAAAAATGATTTACTTACAAATCAAACAGTATTATCACAACAATTTGAACAAATAATACATAATTCATTATTAAATATTCCAATTATACATACATCAGCACATGAACATGTTAATATACAATCTGTACTTGAACTTGCGCTATATGCATGTGATGAACCAACAAAAAAATCTTTTCATTTAAAATATATTCCACCAAATTATACGGATGCTTATAAAACTGAACAATCATTAAAACATGTTATACAAACAGAATATCGAGCATTATTAAATCGACATGTACCAGATTTTCGTATTGGTTCATGGGAAAAATTTTATGAACGATGGCAACATCATACATGTGTACAAACATTTATTGATATGTTTGGTAAACAACAAGCCAAATGTTTATATGATGAACATATAGAAGAATTACGAAAAATTTCAAGACAAAAATTAATTGATGAGAGATTAATACAAATTATTGAAATGCTTATAAATGATCAGAAAACAAAATTATCAAGGTAGAAATTGTTTTAATTATTGTAATGGATGAAAAAGAAAAAGAAATTTTATTGATATGTCGTAGTTAGAATAGATTTTATAGCCGATGGTGACTTTCAAATGCCGGAAGCGTATTCGTTCAAGTATCTTTAAGAGATATTATGAACCTAAGAATATATATTAAGAGTGAAGAGGTATAAGAATACAAAAAAATGTCGAAAGAAAGTTTAATGAAAATGATAGATTTTTGTCTAACAGATAACTTCTCAGTTTTGACATGACAGTCTACGACGTTTTTAGTTAGAGTACATTCTAAATGTAAAACTACAGGAAATTTCCGGTACATATTTGAAAAAGTCAAAGAAACAAATTGTGCTTGATAGTAACTCTAAAAACTAAAATTAGTACTGATTCAATCTAAAATCTATTGTATTTGCTATATAATATCGATAACTTTGAATAAAGTTTTATTATAAATCCATCATGAGATACCACTGATAAAAGAATACTTTATAAACACATTAGATCTATATATAAATTTCAAGATGAATGTGACGTATGACATTCAATTCTTTCTATAATATTGTACAATACATTATATATTGAATACAATAGTTATAACTATAGAAAAGCCCTACGGAAAAATATTCTTTTTTTTACCTCTCTCTTTCATACTTATATGATGATGAAGTACAAAATAGTATGCATTTCCTTTTTATTACCGGTACTAGTTCCTTTTTTATGCAAGATTACATTTTCTGTAACATAATCCTGTTTATTATTTTGTAATAAGCCTAACATGTTACGTCTTTTGTATATATACAAAAATCATTTATTTTTATACATTATTTCGAACAAAAGGAAGAATAGCAATTTTTTCTATAAATATAAACAATCATACATATATTGTATTTGATTATACGTGATAATATGTTGTTATTCAAAGTCCATAATTTTTTCAATAGTTCAACACATTTTTGATATATTTTTTTCCAAAAATAAAACTAAACTCAAAATACTCTTGAAAGTTTACAATAAATATTTGAAAGTGTTTTATAGAATCAAAGATTTTAAATGTATTGAACTTGATTTCCAAGTGCTCTCATCATGCCATTAGTTAATAGTACTTGAAATTGAAAAATATAAACTAGACATATTTTTAGAAATTGGGATTATGTACGTTTGCAAATGCAAAAACATCCTCATTATTCATCAACTGTGATACCATCATCAATGTGGTCAGATGCCGAACGTAACAATACAACAAATTCTCTTATCATTCCCGATGATTTACTTGATACATCTGAAGCACGTCAACGTTTTGAATCATATATAAATAATCGTCAACTTGAACAAATACGTCGAACAAATTGTCGTACATTTTTTGATTTATTAACTCGATTTTCTGATGCTGGTCTTGTTCATTATGGTGATTCATATGACAAAGATTGTGTTTATTTTTTGGGTCGAGAATGTTATGAATCATTAAATGGACATGATCGTTTACGTGTATTTGCAATACATCAATCATATTTATATCGTTTATTATGTTTACAATTTGTTGAATTATTATTTGAATCCTTGGAAATTTTTATAAATACATTTGACAAAATGAATTTAGCGACAAATGTTACAAGTGAAAATAATTTCAATAGTAGAAAAATAACAACCGTTACAATTGATGATATTTTTCAAAAAGAAATTATTCAAGAAATTAAACATGATTCAAGGTAAACTATTTAAAAATTCAATTTAAAAAACATGTAGAAACTGTATCATTTATAATTATCATCACACAGTTTGAATAATGTATTATTTAGTTACGCATTTTACATACATGAATCGATTAGAATAACAACCTTGTAAAAAATCATCGACGTTATGAAATATATTATAGAGAATCAACTAAACAAACTCTTTTGAATTAATTTTATCGGAGTTAAGAAAGATTCAGTGGATTATGAGAAACAATATTTTTTCATACGAAAGCTTGAGGCTATTGTTAAACGTTATACTAGTGTCGATTAAAAACTCTAAATCGCTTTTGATTTCAAGCGTAGTGTTTCACGCAGACCTCAGTAAGATATGAAAAACCTCAAAAAGGAAAAGTACCCATAGACCTTTTTCTGGAGTTATAGGCATTCTACTGCAATTTTAGCCCTTATCACAATATACACTTATAAATCGAATATCGGTATTTCGTAGAATGCCTATAACTCCAGAAGAAAGGTCTATGGGCACTTACCCTTTGAGGTTTTTGATACCTTACTGGGATCTACCTTTTGCACTAGACTTGAAGTCAGAAGCGATTTATCAGTTGAATCAGTTTCCTCGTAAATTTGAGTTTGATGAGTGATTCTATTTCTTCAGTCTATTGTTCAAAATAAAAACTATACCAGCGTATATTGAAATCAGTATATTACAAATGAAATGAATTTGCACAGAACATATTATATTCAGATTCGAATTTTTTATTTTAACACAGAAATTGAAATCATCATAATAATTTGTTTTCATTTAGATATCAATCACTAAATAAACGTGAAACTGATCGTCATCGTTTAATAATGTGTCATTGTCATTTTCTATATGATTGTATTTATTATCCATCCATAAATATCAATCGTTTATTAAAACAACGTCGTCGATCATTTAAACGTCGAAAATCTTCGTCAGTGTCATTAACTAGTAATATGAGTATTGATGATAATTTTTGTCCATATACACGAAAAGTTTATTCACATAATGCTAATGATGAAAATGAAGAAAATTTAAAGAAAAAATTCGAAATTGCTTGTCCAATGGAAAATAATTGTGCGGATATACGAATTATTAATGAAATATTATTAAAATTAAAATTTAAAAATATGAATAAGTAATTGCAAAATGTTTTCTTTGTTTTTTTATTTAATTTTCTTGTATTTTATAGAAATATTGTTATTTGTGGAAATGATGGTGACATCGAGTATTACCAACGAATATTTTCTGTAGGTTATATTTAAGAAAAATTTCTTCATTAATCGTTTATTTATTTTTCATAGAGTGATTTATCTGATATTCCAATTAATTTCTTAACATTCAATAATCTTAAATCTCAAACAATTGATGGTTTGATATTTTTTATATTATTATTTAAAAATAATTTCGAATAACTTTCTATAGGTTGTATTTTTGTTTCATCGAATTCTCAAAAGATTTTACGAGATATGAATATTCAACGAAAACTTCATTTAAACATCGATCGTAAATAAATTAGAAGAAATTTTAACCAGGATAATTTTTTTTCTGCTATTTAGATATTCCAATTCTTAATCTCTATTCTCAATTTAATAATAAATCAATTTCAAATGATGAATTACGCTCAACAATTGAACATTTTCTTTCCAATGATGAATCTCTAAATAATAAAATTGAAAAATCCAATCATATTCGAATTCTACTTTGTTTCATGTGTGGAAGTGATAAAAATGATGTTGAAGTTTTTTTCTCTCAATTATCTTCACGTTTTTCTCTTACGATTACAAATCAATCATCATTCATGATTAATACATTTTTTGGTCGATCAAATCGAAAAGTAAAAACAAAATATAATCGAATTTCTATATTTTTTTCTCTCTCGATTAGATTGAATTAATTCCTGTTTCATTTCATTCATTATTCGCAGTTAAATTAATTGATTTCGATGGATTTATTTTATTTTATGATCGAGATCGAAAAGCAGCTTTCAATACAATGATGTAAGTTACAAAGATAATATTTGAAATAGAAAAAATGATTGTCGATAAGAGAACGGCGATGATGACGACACGCATATATACTTGCTAGTAATGAGTTTGAAAAAATTGAATTTGTAACTGTTGACTTCGAGAGATTATATTAATCTATATGAGACATTGAGATAAGTTTCTCGAAACTAAAATATTACGTAATGTACATATTTAAAATTTTTAAATATATGATTGCGTCACTTCTTTTTATATAATATAAACCCTATACGGTGCTCTTATTCTTAATAGTGTAAACTCTTCACTTTGAATTTTTATAGGTTTCAGATCAATGATTTCTTATTCAACTTTACCCCTATAGAAATCAAAGTATATAACGTAGTTAAAATTGTCTGTTTTAAACACAAAGAGTTCGAATATCATAAACTACGTATCACTTTCTTTTTATTATCATCGTATTCTCTTTTGACTTTACAATGAATGATGACATTATTAAAATTATTTTTTGTAGGTATTTGGAAAAACATATTTCAACGGTATTACAAAATGAATTAAAAGAAAAAGATATTGATAATGAAAATACGAATGGAACAGTTATTGTACGCCCACCTATTTATATTCTATCATGTGTAAAAGATTCAACATTAGCAAATATTAAAAAATCTTTTAATAATATTCCACAAATTGATTATTGTATTCAACGTCATAGTGGAACAATAAGAAATTTTCTTGAATGTATAAAAATTAAAATATTAGGTTTTTTCTTCTTCTAATAAATGAGTTATTTTCTTTTTGTAGCACATTTTTTATCATTTCTTAATCAATGTTGGACGTGTAAATATGGAAATATGCTTGAAAATAATCATTATCAATATGAAGAACTTCTTGCTGGTGTGCAATCTTATTTCAAGTAAATATTTTTCTTTAAATAAAATATTCTTTTTATTTGTTTTCTTTTACTAATTAGTAATAATCATTTTACACATTCATCTATAAATGATTTAATGACATCTAGTCTTGAACATACACGTCAACCATTAATTAACAGTACAAATAATGATCGAATTATTTCGTTAACTCTATCAAGTAGATCAAATGAAAATTCTCCAAAACGTCATCAATCATTATTAACTCCAACAAATCATGAACCAAGTTAGACAATTGTGTGCAGAAAAAATTTTATATTATTTTTTTTTTTTTTATTAAATAGTTTTTACTTATCGATCATTTCCATATTTATCAAGTTCAACAAATGGTGCTGATTTAACTATAGTTCCAACAACTCCAGTTGATCCATCTATACCTAATATTTCACTTATATCATCTTCATCAATATCTACAAATTCAATGCCAGATAATCAGCAACAATATTTTCAAAAATCAACCAGTATGCGTTTTGCTAAATTAAAAGAACATCCAAGTAAGTTATGGGATATTATTTGCTTTGTAGTTTTGTAGTTTTTAATTCAAATAAAAACTTAGATAGGATAAGCTATAAAACATGCTTATTTATTTATTCTAGTTAATTATTTAACATTTAATGGTAATGTAGATTTGTTAGTGCTTGTAATTCTGTTGCTTATTGTTCTTCTTTTTTTTTGAAATCCCCTCCTTTCTCACATATTATCACTTTGTGATAACTACAGAAGACAAGAAAATTTGTGTTGACAACTTGCTATTACTTTGACTAAAATACATTCTGATAATAAAAGTCTTTTTCTCTTTTCAGCGAATAGAAATGCTTATCAATCCGCAATAACTAAAGGATCTGTAAGTATAAGAGAGAAAGATTTCTTGTGGTAACTCTACACTTATTTGTGTTATTCTTTAGTTATTAACACGTCAAAAAATTGCCGAAGTTGATGAAATGAATTTTCATATACATAAAAATCGATCTACTGCCAATGTTAAAGTACCATTAGCAACACCGGAAATAATTGAATTAAATGAAATAACAACTGCACCTTATTCTATTCAAGAATTTGATGAAACACCATCTCCTACACTTAAAAATAGTCGAGATGATCTTATTAATTCTTCATCATCGGTAACGCATGATAGTATTATTGATGAATCAATAACCGACTCATCAAAACAAACAAGAGGTAAATTATTGTGTTTTATTACAAATAAATGATTTTTTATTTAAATTAGTAACAGATTCATCAGTTGATAGTTCAAGTGATGAACGGCTGAAAACATCATCAACAACAATCGAAAATATTGTTACTTTACAACGTAAAACATCGGATAGAAAAAGTAAACGTGTACGTGCTAAACAAAATGATCCAGCTGGTTCAGCATCAAGTAATGAAATCTTAAAAAAACGTAAGAAACTTTTTCATATTTTTTCATATTTATAAAAATGAAATTTATTATTTTAGTTGGATCAGATGATGATGTTTTAAATCGTGAAGATAAACGTAGTCAAAAAAAGAAACGTCGACCAAGTTTTAGACGACGAAAAAAGAGTATTTATGATCAAACACAAACTGATTCAGGCATTGATTCAAGAATGGGTATAAAATTTTGTTTAATATTTACATTCAAGAGATAATTAAAAGATTAATATTCAATTTTAATTTAGATTCAAGTAAAGTTAATAATACTCCTGAACCATCAACAAGTATTGTTATATCAAATGAAGATGACTCAAGTGTTGGTGATTGTACAAAAGATAGCAAAGTAAAATACTGATAAAGTACATGCAACTATTTGACATTCATTTCTATGAATTTTAGAATACATCAATTGAAGAGTTAGAAGAACGACCAACTGCTAATTGGATTCGTCGTCAGTTACAATATTTTGCTCAAGCTAGACGCGAAGTAAAATATTATTTGACATTTATTAATAGCATTAACATATGACAAACTTGAATTTTTCCCTAAAAGATCTCGAGAATGAACGCTAAGAGGGTATAAAACACTACTAACTTATCTTGACTAGAAAATAGCTAGTTTTTCGTAATTAACTATGAATTCTAACGTCGCCATTTGATAATATGAATATTTTCTAGTTCATCTATACAACGGAGCTGGTCATTATGACATGATAATAATAAAGTTTTATGAAGGGTATTTAAGTGAAATCTATGAATTGATTTAATGGCAGTACGACAAACTCTAAAAACTATCTTCTCTAATATAAAAAAGCTTAATGTATAGACTAAACTTACTAAGAAGTTTTGTACAGATCTAGAGAAAAATACTTTAGCTATATTTTACATCATATTCTACCAGAGATTCTAAAATCATTTAACATGACTATCGGAATTTTAATTTGATTAAAAATATATTTCTTGTCTTGAAAAAAAAAGGTAACGGTGGTTTTAATTTACGCCGTTCTTATTTATAAAACAGACTTAGTTGCTATTATTTCAATATGAATCGAACGAAATTTAATAATTTCATATTGTTTTTGTTTTTTTTAGAAAAGTGAATTAAAATCTCGTTCTTCAGCTCTTACAACTGTCACATCCGTCTCTCCTCCATCACTTTTCAAATTTACAATGACATCAACTCCGTCCCAAACTCAACAAACTACATTTCCATTAACATCTCTTGAAAATTCTTATCATCATGTTCCTATACGTTTAGTACTTAGTCGTTGTTTATTATCAAATGTATTAGGCATACCATTATTTATTGAAAAATGTATCCTGTATATTGAAGAACATGGTTTGTCCACTGAAGGTCTTTATCGAATATCAGGATATAAAAATCAAGTTGAATTAGTTATTAATAAACTTATACAAGATCCAAATTATGATTTAAATTTATTACAAATACCAGCAAGTGCTGTTGCAACAGCATTCAAAGATATGATGAGAAAATTAAATGAACCAATTTTATCTTTAGAACAATTTGATGATTGTCAAACATTAACTAGTAAATATATATATAAATTCGAAATTTAGTTTTTGTTAAGAATAAATTTTTTGTTTGTATTTTAGTTGATCAATTACGTGAACAAAATTTTAGTCCATTAAAGAAAGCTTTACTACGAACAAGTGATCTGAAATATCGAACAAATAAATTTATTTTTAAACATCTTTATTAGTAAGTTGAATAGTCAATTTTTTTATCGATTGAATTTAGATCAGAGATGCCTATCGCGGTTGAGAATCTGCCGCTGCCGCGATGAGACTTTTAAAGATCTTCCGATTCTCAAGGCTAAGAGTAGTTTAAACGAGACCTGTTGCTGCTAGTCGTTAAATTCGTGTAGCTTTACATTCCGCACCGCAGCCGCGCCGCCATGGACACCTCTGATTTAGATGTTAGAAAAAAGTAGGGAGTGGGTCGTCCTACAACTTTTTTCTGATTACGCCTCTAGTAAAAAGATGAAATTAGAATTCTGTCGTAGGATATAGAATGTTGTTTAAAGATAGATTTGATAATTGAAATTTATTTTAGTGTGTCACAACATGCAGGATTAACTCATATGGATTCATCAAATTTAGCTGTATTATGGTGGCCAAATTTATTACAACCACAATTTCATGATTTACGTACAGCTGAACAAATTTGTCAGAAAGCAAAACCATTAATTCAAACAATTATTGATAATTATTCAATTATTTTCACTTCTGATCAAATAAATGAGAAGATTTAAAATAAGATTCTTGTTTAAGTATTGGTTTATTTTCTTCTAGTCAACAACGGGTGCTTCCGTGTTGTGATTTTTTGTTTTTCGTTCGTTACATGAGAATTATTGTATCTATATATGTATTTGCTAGTCGTTATTCTCTTTTTTTGTTTTGTTTCTCTATTTATTCCGTACAAAGAAATTTTAAAAAAAAACAAGTTTTTTTGTAATTAGAACAGTAGTTGTTTTGTTTTTTTTTTCATTTTCTTCTTTTTTGTGTTTTGTAACCTGTACATGCCGTTGGGTTTTGTTTTATTTTAACAGTATCAATGCGATTGTTGAAGGATATTAAATAAGAATTCCAGTTGAAGACGAACCTATGCGTGTATATATTTATGAAAAATATAGATATGTGAATGTGTTCTTTTATGGTTGTTGTTGTTTTTTTTTCGTTGTTGTTATTATTATTGTCTATTTTCGATGTATCTTTTTTTTTGTTTCTTTCTTTCGTATGAAGTTCAACAAAAATATATATTCAACTGAATTTTTGACTACGAAATTAATATCATTTGAAGTATTTATACGAAATATTGAACAAAGTTTTATGACTTATAAAATTACAATTAATTATATTGTATTTAAAAAAATAAAATTATAGCATGATTGAAACTTATTTCTACATATTTAACTGTTTTTTCGTTGTATAGTTGTTTGAGAAATGGGCGATGATGTGTTGGACTCGGGTAAAATATCTGTTATAGTATCGGGTAATGTTTGTTCATCGATTTGTACTTGAGTACGAAAAGTTTCTGTATTCTCTTTGAAATTTGTACTTCCAAGAGGAAATGGTGCAGAATAATAAGGTTGAAAAACTCTACTAGCACCAAGAAAACGATAGATACGCCATGAATTAACCATAATCAATGAAAAAAAATATGCTCTTGCTTGTGCTTTTTGGTTTGTACATACGTAATAAATAACTACGGGAATCCAAACTGGAGAAGAGAAAATAATCAATAATAATATTTCAAAAATAACTAATATCATAACTGGTTTACTACGTTCAAATGAAGGTAAAGATTGTAAATATTCAATATATAAAGGATGAATCTTATGATGGGCAGCACCATTACGTAGAAGACTCATATAACGAACACTAGGTAATACATGATGACTCGCTATTGATGGACTAATCCGACGAACTACTAATGTATAAGCTTCAATTATACGTCCATCATAAGCATGTACATTAACTTTATGTGGAATATATCCATTCGGATTAACTCCACTTCCTCCTTCTGTTGTTAATAAATATTTAAATTGTTTACCAGTCATTTTATGTAATATACCATGAACTTCTGCATCAGGATTTTCTTTAATATTTCCGAAACATGGTTCAAGTGCTGGAATACCTCGTAAGTCAAAAGTTAACTGCCATCCTTCTAATACACCGGGAATAGATTCTATTGGGTGAGTTTTTCTTCGACCCGATAAAACATTGGGAAACATATTTGCACCATAGGAAAAATTGTATACAAAATCTGGATAACTTGAAGGAAACAATGATTCAGAAGTCGAATTAGATTTAGTCATCTAAAACACAGCTGAATTTTTATTATATTGAAAATAAGAAAAAACAGTTTGACTCGATTCTTCTATGGCAGTCGTATTTATATAGTGAATCAGAATGACGCGATAAATTTCCGTTCTCGTTCGTACTTTCGTTCTGTTTTACATTCATTCCTGTTACTCTGTACGTTTACATGTTGTTATTTATTCAAGCGTTTCTACATGTTTCTATTACAAAAAATCTATCAGATAGAAAATAAAAGTAAAAACAATGAAAGAAATTAATATATCCAAAGATAAAGGAAGACAGACGTTAGTTTATTTCTTTTAACCGGATTAACTAACAGATAAAAAAGGTCACAAATATCAAGAAAGAATATTTGTCATGACACAATCTATTATAAATGAATAATTCTATAGTATGCATTTTCTTTTATGATATATTCCCATTAAAAAGACCTATATGAATATTGTAACTACAATAGAGTTTTCATCAATTTTCGTATAGATATATAATCTTGTGTCATCATAACTGCAAATGATAATGCTTTACCCAGACCTTCTCCACGTTGATTTTTCGTAATTCTACAAGCTAAACTATTATGACATTTATCAATCACCCGACTATTTCTTATACCAGTAAGCATTCGTATTGATTTTGTTGGACCAACTTTAATTTTAGTCTAACTATGACAGAATAGAAAGCATTTTGTATGGTAAAACAACAACATAAAACAGATGTAATGGCGTTCATTGAATTTGCTCGCACACTATACTAGAATAGCTACGTGTGCAGTTTAAATATTGACTTGAATCATTCTTGTTGACGTTTATTACTGTTATCGTTATCTTCTAGATGTCGCAATTATTCAGTTATTTCATTAAGGTATCATGATAAATATACAGACGAAACAATCAGAAAGTCTTTTATTGAACTTTCAATATGCATATTTTCATATCAAATTTAGATAAACACCGTATGGTTATTGAATACTGTACAAAATCATTTCAACTAGTGATTTCATGGGATATTGTTGAAAAAAGACTACCATTATTTGTTCATATAATGACACATAAATCAATTCTTTTACAAAGTGATCCTCAATTAGATAATATATGCCGTGAAACTGGCCATTGATGTTGAAAACAAATTCTTTCATTAACACAGAATGAATAAGCTAGAGAATAATATATATTCTATACTCGTTCATTTGTTATACAATTGCTAAACCTGAAATCAATATATTCATTATGAATTGGACTTTTTATTTTGAAATTATTTTCCTTCAACTACTCTTAAAGTTCTTGTTCCTGAAAGAATATAAATACCATGGACGATGTTCAATATTTATAATTTCTTCGAAAATGAAAAACTCATATAAAATTCTGTATGTTGCTGCAGAAAGATTCATTTATGTTAAATAATATATTGCAAAAAAAAAAAATTTTCCGTCTTAGACTTCTTAAATTAATCACCAATGATTTAAATGATACGAAAACTAATAGTTGTCCATATGCCAATAATGGCCGATGAACTTAGAATAGATTCTATTTAGCAAATGATAATCATATACTTTCAAATAATCAATCAAAAATGATTACACGATCATTTTCAATTCAGTTTAGTCAACTAATACAGAACATTTTTCATTGATTGGTTCTTGTTTCTTCCAATCATATTAACTGTCCTCTAAAAAGAAAAACTTTTTAATTTATTTAATTGAAAATAAAAATTTTCTCAAATTCTATTTTCAAAATATGAAAAGATTTATTTTAACAAATCTATGCTAAAGTAAACTTCTTTATTGGTCAACCAATCAGAATAAATCTATGGAATTGAATGTTGTTTTCTTTTTTTTTTTGTTACTTTCGTTTCGTTTTGGTTATAATTATAAGGAATAGTATAGTAAAATTAATATGTTTATTTGTTCATTTTTAGACCGCACTAGGCAAACATGCCGCGCGTTCCATTAGTTTACAACAAAACTTACTCAACACCACGTCGTCCATATGAAAAGGAACGTCTTGATCAAGAACTTGAACTTATTGGTAAATTCGGTTTAAGAAATAAACGTGAAGTATGGCGTGTACGTTATACATTAGCAAAAATCCGCAAAGCTGCTCGTGAATTACTTACACTCGATGAAAGAGAACCAAAACGTTTATTTGAAGGTAATGCATTACTTCGTCGTCTCGTTCGAATTGGTGTACTTGATGAATCAAAAATGAAACTCGATTACGTTTTGGGTTTAAAAGTTGAAGATTTTTTGGAACGTCGTCTTCAAACTCAACTTTTACGACTTGCTCTTGCTAAAAGTATTCATCATGCTCGTGTACTTATTCGTCAACGACATATTCGGTATGATTACAATAGACCAAAGATTTTTTTAAATAATTTTTATTTTTAAGTGTACGAAAACAAGTAGTCAATATTCCATCGTTTATTGTACGACTTGATTCACAAAAACATATTGATTTTGCACTTCGTTCACCATTATCTAGCGGTGGTCGACCAGGTACATTTATCTTGAAATTTATCTATTTTTTATTCATATATTTTCTTTTAATTTAATTAAAATAGGCCGTGTTAAACGAAAAAATATGAGAAAAGGAGAAAAAGGTGCCAAAGAAGATGAAGATGCTGATGAAGATTAAACATTATTCAAATAAGCACACATACAATTATGATTAAAGACTAACATCGTTCTATTGTTTTTATTCTTGTATTGTGTGTGTTATTGTTTTGTCGATTCGACTTTCATCAAAAAAAAAAGACAAAAAAAGAAGATTATCTATTCTCGATTTCGAGAAAGAATTTAATATTTATCGTTTTATAATAACACGAATTTTTTTTGAAAAAAAATATCTTACCCCTTCTCTTTAAGTTAGACATACGGTAAGATAGTAACGCGTATTATACACATAAGTAAAGATATCGTTTGAACTAAGACAAGAAATTCATACGGTGTAGTACCTTTTATTCAAAGACATGAGGAGATCGATTCATTAAAGCTTTAATATCATCATCTATTTGTATTATAGTGACTTTCGAATTTTCACAGAAACGGTTATGTTAATTTAGAAAAAGCATCGTCTCATAATTTTTGCTAAGTTTAACACTTAATAATATTATCCCGTGATAAAAAATGATTAATTTCTAATTTTAGATTGATTTAAATGGGTAAGTCACGAAAAAAATCTACGGGAACTAATCGATCAAAACAAGATGATCCTGATCTATTCTTTTCCAATAATCATGATAAAAATAATAATAATGATGATGATGGAGACGAAATAGATACATTTTATAAAGAACGTGATGACAATCTTCGAACAGCATTATCTAAAACGACGAAAAAAACATCAAAAAATAAGAAAAATGTATCATGGGCAATAGATAATGATTCGGATGAAGAAAATGGTCGCGATGAAGTACTCGCTTTTGATGATGATGATTCTATGGCAAGTGATGATGATGATAATGAATATCAACAAATTGAAGGTGATGATAATGATGTTGATGATGATGAAGACGGAATGGATGATGAAGATCTTACTGGTGCATTTGGTACATCAAGAAAAGCCTTTTACAATGAAGACGCAAATGTTGATGATGAAGATGCGAAATTAGAAGAAACAGAAGCGACAACAATTCAAAAGAGATATTGGGATATGTTAGAAAAAACAGATTTTGGTTTAGATTTATTTAAGCAAAAACCATCAGCAACAATATCAAATGATCGAAATCTTGATGAACAATCATTACGTCGTCATATTATTTTACCAGATAATCTTCTTGAATTAAGTTCAAATGAACGATTACAATTAATACGTGATCAATCACCTGAATTAGAACCATTATGTAATGAATTTAAGAATATTTTTGATGATCTTAAAATTTATCTTTTACCATTTATACAACTTGTTATTGATACATCATCATTAGAAGAATTTCATAGTTATTCAGGATGGCAATTTATTCTTTCTCTACTTGAACTTTATTTAACTTATTGTTCATATTTAAGTTTATATTTAATGATGAAATCGACAGATTTAAATCTTATCAAACATCCTATTATAAATGATATTGAACAATATAGAAAATTATGTCAATTAGTTGAAGAAGATTTTCAAACGTTAAAACCTGATCTATTAAAATTATGTGAATTACTTCAAGAGAAAAAAATTAAAATCAATCAATCATTAGCATCCAAACAAAAAGAAGTTGTATCAAAACCACATTTAATTATGAATAATGGTATTAAATTACCAACGAAAGCAATGGTAAGATAAGGCAGAAAAAACGAAAAATATTTCAAATTTATTTCTTTATTAGAATGGAACATCGGCTAAACCATCTCTTCGTGAACGTATGTTGCAAAGACAAGAACAACAAATAAAATCCGAAATGAATATTGAAACTCAAGAAGATAAACCAGAAAAACGTGGTATTACCTATGAAATGGAGAAGAATAAAGGTTTAACAACTAAACGTAAAAAAGAACTTCGAAATCCACGTGTACATCATCGTAATAAATATGCACGTGCATTGGTTAAACGTAAAAGTCGTGTTCCAACTGCACGTACTGAAGAAGAAAGATATACCGGTGAACCGACCGGTATTCGAGCTGGTATTAAACGTGGCATTAAACTTAAATCTTAAACATATTCTTGTTTTTCGTGTTTATTTGTTTTTCCAATAAATAAATAAAAAAAAAAAAAACTTTTTCAAACAGTCATTTTTCTTAAGTTTCACAGCCACCTTGAGCACAGATGGTTTCCAATGTTTTTATAGCTTCAGGTACACCAGCTTCAGCTGCTTTTTCGATTAATTTACGTGCTTCTCTAAATAGTTAATAAAAAATTAAATTTTATTGAATTATAAATTCATTTTTTTCGACAATACCCTGGTTGAAGACCTGTTTTAAATCCTCGTAAATGAGAAATAGCTAGATTATATTGAGCTTTTGCATGACCTTGATCTGATGCTTGTTTAAGCCAATAAACTGCATTTTCAGGATGATGATCAGCACCAACACCTTTATCAAAATATTTTATTTATTTATGGAAATTACAATAAAACGTTTCTTTACCATGCATATAACCATGTCCAAGATTGTGTTGTGCTTCTTTATAACCTAAATTTGCATAGAAACGATTGACATGAAAATGAACATGTTCAAAATGATAATATGTTGCATAGAGTAAACCAAGAGCAAGACAAAGTAGAAGACCCTAGGATATTTAATCAATTAAAATAATAGAAAAGAAGTTAATTATTTACTTCAGCTGCTTTGATATACCATGGATCAGGTTTCTTTCGACGTGCTAATCGAACACGACCATGAAATGGTAATGATTCATTAGGTTCTGGTGCAACATCGAGGAGACGTCGACGTATTTCTTCTTCAGCAGTTGCCATCATTGACACTTAATAATAGTAAAAATAATTTACACAAGTCTTTTGTTTGAAGAGAAAATATTTTTCTCACAGGCCACAAAAAAAAAGAAGAAAGAATATTGGAATAGTTTTCAACTACGTTTTTTTTTCTTCTTGTTTATTATGTGTTTTCATTAAAATAGAGTAGGCAAAAAAAAGAAAGAAAAGCTCGCTTGGGAAATAACAAGAAAAAAAAAGACAAATATATAATAGTCATACAAGGTTTTCAAAAACGGACTGACTAGTAACAAAAAGATTTTTTTTTCTTTTTTCTTCTCTATTTAAATGAACAATTCAAAATTTATTTAATAATGACAATGACACAAAAAGAAACGGACAATTTATTTATTAATATTAAAAAGAGATCTTAATTTAAGTTAGATATCACATAAAATACAATAAACAACAATGGAAGAAATGTTGTTTGAAAAAATAATGATGTTGTTCGATTTGGTGCTACTATTGCTGTTATTTGAATAATTAAAAGTTCATTCGGTGAACATAAACTTGTACAATCAATTTGAGGACATAGATTATTATAATATTTATATGTACTTCGACATGATACTGAAGTATTAAGAATTTTTTTTCTTATTGCTTTATTTGTTTTACGAACAGCAGGTATTGATAGTTGTGTTTGGGTTTGATAATCATAACCTCCACGACATTCTTGACCAGTATAAGCAAGAGATTTTCGATCATGTAATAGATAATTAAATGTACAATTACATGTTAATGGATTATTTTCAATATGTATTGTTGAACGTGCAAAATTTATAAATGTACATGGATGAAGTGTTTCAAATTGATTCGAATGTAAATGAATATGTAAAGAAGAACGAGATGTTGTACGAGGAAGACCATAGAATGTACATGTATCAAGATTAGAAATAATATTGCTACTTAAATCAAGTTTATTTAATGATTTTAATGATAAAAATTCACATGAATTTAATTGACTGATATTATTTGATGTAAGTTTTAAATGATTTAATTCATTAAGATACGAATTATAAAATGCATGTGTAAAATTTTCTAAATAATTATGTGATAAATCAAGATATTTCAAACGATAAAGTCCTGTCCATACATGTGCTGATATTGTATGAATTTGATTATATTGTAATTTTAATAAACGTAAATTAACAAGATAAGAAAATATATTTGTATGTAAAATTGTTAATTGATTATGTGATAAATCAAGATAATCAATAAGAAATGGACCAGCATATGCTTGTGGATGTCTTTCAAATGTTAAATTATTCATTATTGAGATTTGATTATAGGATAAATCAAGTCGTGTTAAACGATGAGAAAAACCAAATGCATATGCTGGTAAAGAAGTTATATTATTATACGATAAATAAAGTTCATATAAACCAGTTGCATTATATAATGCTTTGTTAGGTATAGAATCAAGTGCATTATGATCAAGATAAAGGATTGAAATTGATGATGGTTCACCAGATAATGATAAAGCAAATTGTTTGATTTGTTCAGTTTTTTTACGAAATTCTAATGTTAAATCAGTAAGAAGTCGTGTATGTTCATAATTTGGTTGAATTATTAAATGTTTATTAATATCTTCTATATCATCATCTTCTTCTTCTTCTTCATAATCATCAACAATATCAAAATCATCGTCATTATTTGTAATAGATAAATGTTGTTGATTAGGCCATTTATCAATTAAATGTCTATGAGTTAAATTTAATTGAACAATAAGATCATAGGCAAGTGAACCTGAGAAAATTAAATAATGTATATGCATATTATTTGGTATCCATTTCAAATTTGTTAAATTTTCAAATAGATTAAATGCTAAATCAATATTCCATTGTATCATACTATTATTTGTTTGAATTATTTTAAATTTTGGTAAAATTTTTAATTTTCGTGAAAAACAATCAATCCATAAACGTTTACTTTCAATTTCACATAAACATTGACATGGTGTTGATACAGGACATGGTTGAACATATTGATGATTTGTACGTATATCAATATTAGTTGAAAATAAATATGGTGAACATATTGATTTAGTTAATGAATGGACGGAGAATGAGAAATGAATCATATTAAGTATATATATCACCACTATACAAATATATGATTTTGGAAATGATAAATACCATTGCATTGTTCTTCATAGTGTTAAACTTTCATAAATATTGATTGATGATGAGTATGAATTCAACTATAAGCAAAAAAATAGTAACAATTTTCTTTTTGTCTGTTTTATTTATTAAGATTTTGACATATGCATGTCTAACAATATTGACGTCACTGATCAGTTAGTACTCTATCATTAATAGACATATAACCTTGACTAGCCTATTTCTAATTGTTTGCATTTATGTATGCTGTCTTTTTTCTAGATAAAATTTGTTATATATAATAAATGATTATGGATCAAACTAAACTGATGGGTGAACTTACTTGAAGATTCATTGATGATTTTGTATGAATATGGAATTTTGTTGTCTTTTGATTATTGAATGACGAGAGAGTGATGGTGGTAGATAGATTGATGGCAATGGATTATTACCGTTATCGAAAGAAATGAAAAATAATAGAGAGAAGAATCTAGTGAGAAACGGAGTCGATGCTGTTTGCCGGCTATATGTTAAGAGATCGAAAGGAAAAGAATGGAAGAAAATCAACACAAGAAGAAAAAAAGAAAGAAACGAGAAAATTTCTATCTATTCTCTTAGGGTCTTTCTCAATTAAAACTATATAGAACAACGTCACTAAAGAGACTTACAACAGAAATATTAGATCGTTTTCCGTTCTCTTTCCGAGTATGATGGAATAGGGAAACAAGTAAGCAAATCGCCTCAAGACAATATGAGTCTTATTTTTCTAATGATGATGATGACAAAAGGCAATATTGTATCATTAGTTCCAACCTAATGAACTGTACCATTTTGTATTTTCATTGATGTTCATGCACAAATGAAAGTCAACTTATGTTTATATATATTATACAGACACATAACGCCTGAAGATACAATCTAATGGTAGTATTGATATAATCATATGATCTATCAATATTTTTCTCGATTAAAGAATAAGATAGAAGATTTTTTTCTTCTTCTCCTTTTTTTTCTCAAGAATACAATAATATATCAGTTATGCGTATTGATGCAAAAACTATTCGATTATATATTTTCGTATATCCTGTTTTGTATTCGGATCTAATCAGATTATTGACTTAATATAAATATTAAAATATGCTGACACTTTGATCTTATGATTAAAAAAAAAGAAGGAATTATTTAACACTTTCGTATTACTATATTTTAATCTTCTTATCACAACGAGAATAAATATTTCTATTGCAGATCAATAAGATATATATATATCGACAGAGAATTTTTTTTACAATTTATCACTCTAATGTACTAATGGTATTATAATATACTAATGAAAAAATAACAAATAACATTTTTATTATTAAGACAAAAGTGTCAACACATTCATTATAGCATCAAAGAATAGTCAAATTTGAGTAAACTTCGAACATTACAAGTTGTGTAAATAATTGCACAATTATAAACGAGAAAAAATGTAGTTTTTAATAAATATTTTATTCACATTACAGAAATAATTCTAAAACACTTTCTATTCATCATCTTCATGTGTTAAATATACAAGTGAAGAACTCATGCCTGTCTAGGTATGTAGGATTGAAAAAGTACAAAAAGATATTTCCTGTATTAATCAATTTTAACGAATACCACTCTATACTCTTCAATTACATCTAATTGTTCTCATATTTCGTCTTTTTTTTCTACTATTTGTCGGTAGTTGATTAACAAATGAAAATTCATTGACTCGTACGGATAGACATGAAAAATACACTTGTCTGTTTAAGAAAAAAAGAATGTAATTTACAAATTGAATGACTGGAGAACGATACCTATAATACTAATCATTCAATAAAAAACCTGTATAGTTAGTGATCAATAGATTCTATATGAAAAATCGAAATTCTCAAGAGAAATTAAAATACAAGCTTTATTGTAATTCCAGAAACTTCTGTTAATTCGAAAGTTTCTAATATGACAAATGAGTACATTTCTACTTTTTACTATCTTCGTTGTCATTGGTTCGTATACTTTCTCATAGCCGAATGATTCTAAGAAAGACAGGAAAAAACTAGTGTTTCTTTTTGTTTTATTTAATTAAAAAAAAAGAAAAGACAACTATTTATCAAGTAAAAGTTTTGATTGATCTTAATGTCAGCAAATATGACATTTGATAATGAGAGAAATATCATTACTGGAAATGAATACGATACAGGTAGATAGAACATTGTGAGAGTTATTAATCACTATGCTATATCTATATTTCTTTATTTTATAGGATTAAACAATTCAACTTCTTACGTAGTCTATGATTGTTGTGTATGTGCGTTACCAATACATGATCAATTAATTTTTCGAGTCAATGAAAATTATTTTCATTCATTCTGTATAAATTGTTCCGAATGTCATATGAACTTATTTGATAAATGTTATACTCGAAATGGAAAAATTTATTGTAAAGAACATTTTTTTAAGTATACATAAAAAATTTTCGTTTTTAACAGAAAAAATTAATTATAAAATCTCTTTTATTATTAGAGAATTTGGTACTGAATGTGCATCTTGTAAATATAGTATAGCATCAAGTGAAGATGTTCAACGTGCAAATGAATTTATCTATCATTTACAATGTTTTTCTTGTCTTATTTGTCAACATCATTTTCGTACTGGTGAAAAATTCTATTTAATTAATGATCAAAAACTAGTATGTAAAACAGATTATGATACAATAAAAAATAAAGGTAAAATCTTATGTAATAATAATTATTCTTATTTATGATAATTACAGTTTTTCATGATACAAATAAAAGATCACGTACAACTGTTACACAAAAACAACTTGAAATACTTAAAAAAGTTTATACCACAAGTATAAAACCAGGTCGACATATACGAGAATCATTAGCTAAAGATACTGGTCTAGATATACGTGTTGTTCAAGTTTGGTAAGAATATTTGTATAGGAAAAAGTTTCGTTTATTTCTTATAAGGTTTCAAAATCGTCGTGCAAAAGAAAAACGATTAAAGAAAGATACAAGTAAACAACGATCAACTGCGATACGTACCAAAGTTAAACAGGAGTGTAAAATAAAGATTCAAAATATACGTCAAAAACAACATTCAACTAATCAAGATGATATTGTTTCATTGTCTGATGGTAATTTTATTATTTTAAAAACAAGAATATAGCGTGTCTTTAATTTATTTTTATTTTAATAGAATTATCAGAACATGATTCAAACGATTCTTTATCATCTGTTCGTCGATTATCAAGTGAATTCGTATCATTTAAGTCATCTTCGACAGAATCAAAAGGATTACTGATTCCATCATCTTACTCAACATCATCATCAACAATAACTATCAATGATGATCATGAATCATTATCAGAACTTGATTTTAATACATTGAATTCAATAGACATCAACCATTAACTGAACAGACATTGTCATGCTTTTTTGTTAGTTTTTGCCGGAAATATATTAATTTTATGTTTTAGAAAATGTCAACTAATCATTTATTTTACTAAGACAAAAAATAGTTTAGAGTGTGTGAGTATAGAATACATTCGACACTCTAAATCAATGTTTTCGTCATCAGAAAAATTATTAGCATAATCAAGTATCTTACGAGGTGTATTAACCCTTTCAGGACGGGTGGTACACCCTATATACCACTATCTTTTTTTAACGGAACTATATTGTCTTTTGATGATGGTAGGTAGTTATGTTTGCGTTATAATATGCTTATAGTAGCAATGTATATCCAGTATGATTAGCGTGATTCTACTCTAGTACTTTCACATGCCTTTTTGTATCGACATACTATATTATGTCGTTTTGATTTATTAGCTTACATATGCAGACGAAGGTACACAGTAAGATGTTGTCAAATGGCTACTATTTGATACAGGATCTCTTTTTCTTTCTATGATTATCGTGTTATAATCAAATGAATATTATATCTATCTACTTTCGTTATGTTGTGATGCCTCGAAGCATATGTATTCTTGGCTTTTTCTATAGAACATACATTCTTTTTAGTTTTTACTCTTTCCTCTTCTTATGGTATCTTCTGGTAAATTCTTTCCTTTTCACACTTTTATATATTCAGCGGTTGAAATGAATGAGAGATACATTAGAAGAATCGCCGAAAACACAACCTATTTCATTTCAACTGATCTTTTTCATAAACGTACATTATGAATTCATTCAAAAATAAACGAAGCACTGAAGTGAATGAAATTCATACGAATGTTCAGACTGTAGTGTAGGCTTGTGCATTCCGAATTGTTTTCGCGACTATCACACTCTAAAGTCATATTAATAAACTGGACTGAAAAGTACAATCAATTGATTCTTCAAAACTAATTTTTGTACCTTTTTTCAAAAAAAATAATCCCGTCCTGAAAGGGTTAAAAAGAATATTTATTCTCACCGACATCCTCATGATGGTACTATCAATCGAACTAAAATAGTTTTTATTGGTATTCATTTTCATTGCAGATACGGTCTACGGTTCGAGTCTTGTATTCGTTACAAAATATTTTCTTTTACATTTGTGTACTTTCACAATCTCTATACTGAATTTTGTAAGAAGAGAAAGAAAGCAAAATAATTGCACAAACTGCAAATGTATGCAAGTTAAATATGATTTTGATGAGGAAAGAAAGAGACGAGCCGCGATCGGTGACTCAACATAAATCTTTAAAATTAATGAGACTGAAGCATTACTTTCGGCCCTTCGGGGTCGCTGTCACCGATCAAATCGATACTCGTCACTTAATTTTTTTTAATTACTAGTTCACGTTAGAGAAACTAACATCAAGCTTTTGATTTTGACGACAACTTTGTTTTATTTTTTCAAAACAATCAGAGTTTCTCATGAAATTATAGAATTGAGTGTGGATATTGAGATCATCTCACTCACAGTTACAATAACATGCCGCACGCGCCTATACTGACATCCACACTCTTCCTCAAGATGGCTTAATTAATTATGGATTGGATATTTTGTTAAGAGCAAAAGAAGCGAGAATTTTAATGGTTGGTCTTGATGGGACTGGTAAAACAATAATTCTTTATAGACTTAAATTAGAAGAAACTATAATATCAATTTCAACAATTGATTTTAATGCTGAAACAATAAACTATAAAAATATTAGTTTTACTATTTGGGATGTTGGGGGTTAGGATAAAATTCATTCATTATCGAGACACTATTTTCAAAATAATCAAGGTCTTATTTTTGTCGTTGATAGTAATGATCATCACGTATCGGTGAAGTAAGCGAAGAACTTCAATGAATGCTTGGAGATAATGAACTTAAAGGAGTACCTTTACTTAATTTTGCTAATAAACAAGACATACCTAATGTAATGAATACCACTGAAATAACAGAAAAATTAGGTCTTCATTCGTTGAATAATCGTAATTGGTATATTCAAACAACATGTGCCACAAGTGGTGATGGGCTTCATTAAGGTCTTGATTGGTTATCAAATCAGTTAGAAAATATCGAATGAGCAAAACAAATATATTTCCTTAATTTTTTTTAATTCAGTTTTATTATCTTTATAATTTTCTCTTGATAAAAAAAGGCTTATTACAATTGTATATCTTTTCATTTTGTTAACTTTTATCTTATGGTGTAGATGAAAGATGACCATAGTATCTATATCCACCTAACCTTTGGGTAATAATTTACATGTGAACTCGCTCTCATTCAAATACATGTGGTTGGGAGCAACAAATGATTAATATTCTTCACATCTGCATTTATATACATTCAGTTGTATAAACGATGATCTGTCTTTTATCCATTATGGCTCTTTCTCAACAACCATCATACAATATCACTTCGAAATATTACTGCAACTCATATTATTTGATGAATGATAATGTATTGAGAAATGTGATTGATTAAATAGCTTGAGTACATATATAAAAAAATTGTGATTCAGTTCAAGAAAGAAAATGTCATTCTGTTCATAGTGATTAATAAAGCTCGGCACTATTGAGATAACCACCACTGTTCTGTCCACCAGCAACTAATACTTGTCCATTTGCTAATATGGATGCTGTGTGAGAATCTCGAGCGACACTCATGTTTCCTGTGGTTGTCCAAGTGCTTGTTAATGGATTGTACAATTCAGCACTATTGAGATAATCACTACTGTCGGTTCCACCAGAAACTAATACTAATCCATTTGCTAATATGGATGCTGTGTGATAATATCGTGTAACACTCATGCTTGCTGTGGTTGTCCAATTGCCTGTTGATGGATTGTACAATTCAGCACTATTGAGGTAACCACCGCTATTGTGTCCACCAGTAACTAATACTAGTCCATTTGCTAATATGGATGCTGTGTGCCCTGCTCGTGCGAAACTCATGCTTCCTGCGATTGTCCAATTACCTATTGATGAATTGTACAGTTCAGCAGTACTGTCAGATCCACCAGTAACTAATATTAATCCATTTGCCAATGTGGATGCTGTATGATATATCCGTGCGATACTCATGCTTCCTTTAGTTATCCAAGCGCCTGTTGATGGATTATACAACTCAGCACTATTGAGAATACCACTACTGCCGTATCCACCAGTAACTAATACCTTTCCATTTGCTAATGTGGATGCTGTGTGATAATATCGTGCGACACTCATGTTTGCTGTAGTTGTCCAATTGCCTGTTGATGAATTGTACAATTCAGCACTATTGAAAGAACCGGTGCCATTGTATCCACCAGCAACTAATACTGATCCATTTGCTAATGTGGATGCTGTGTGATATATTCGTGCGACACTCATGTCTCCTGTCATTGACCATTCTAGATAAGGCAGAAAAGTGAGAAAAAAATATTGTTCTTAAAATGACTTCAAAACTCTCGTGTGCATAAGTTGTCTATCTATTGATCGCAGATTAAATGATGCTAAAACTTCAATAAACTTCTCTTTATTTTCATGATTAAGGCAAATTTCATTATGAAATGTTAAACTAAATTAATAAAAAATATGTTATACTCGACTTCATTGATATTTTTCCAGTTCTATCGATGTTGCGAACTTACGAAACTCCGACACTCCTACAATTGAGCTATGATAAATAATGATCGAGTTTCAGAATTGGAGCGAAATTCATTCTGCATTGTTCAACATAGTAGAAACAAGATGTACTTTCACCATCTTAGATTGATGGTGTATGTTTATATCTCAGGATGTAGATAAGAATGAATGTCAATGAGGATGTGACTGTGACTAAGAGAATATAATTGTCAATTCTTTTGCAAGAGAAAATTAATACAGTAAGGGTTGACTGATAGTGATGATGATAGGCATTTTCCTCGAGTTTGAAGTTTTTATGTTATACAATTACCAAATGTTTTTTGAATTACTCAACTCTATATAAAGGAGAATTAAAACATGAGATCAGGTGTTGATAGACATGTCTCATGTTAATATTATGTCAACTACTTCTTCAACGTGTAGAATTATTCTCCGATCATCTTGATGTTGGGTCGACGTGAGTGATTACTAGAATGATCAATGACTTCTATCGCATGGAAATCTTTTTATCAACAATTTTTTCGTCCGATACTGTTGGACAGGAGGAGAATATTCAATACTTGAATAAGTGTAGATCAAATCAAGTCATCAAAAATTGGCCTTATTTCGACCTCTGATAGGAAATGTCCCCTAGTGTTGTCTATCTAGATGCCGATCATTCAAAAGCTGAAATCAAAACTTTTAGATATCGTCATTTCTAGTAATCATCGTTTGAGCTACTACAAATCATTTAACATAGTACTCACGCTGTATTGCTGTTGTTGTCAATGATGTTGTGGATGTTGATGTCGTAGTCGATTCTATATGGGAAAAAATCATTTTAAAGTGGGACAAACGATTGGATAAGATTTGTTTCTTTTTCTGTGACAAAGTATTGGCGGAAAATATGAGTTGATTATAATAAAATAAGAAATGTTGAAATGATTTCCGTTATAATTGTAATTCTATGATATTTACTTTAATTATATTTCTCTTCTAATAATTTTGACAATTCAATTTACATTTCCTAATAAGTTTACTAATCAAACCTTTCGAATCACACAGATTGAGTCATATAAGATTTGCGCATATTAATTCTTTTATTGAAATCTTTTATTTTTTTTAACTCTTTCAAACTACTATCGAATACCATTCTTATACTACGATAATTAAAGGTACATATCACATAAATTACCCACTTCTCATTCAATATGAATACGTATGACTTTTAGGAAATAGCCTAGTACATACTAGTTATCATGAAACGTCAGCATTATCAAAAAGTGTCGTTTCTCGATGATATTTAGAAATTAAATACATTAACTTGTAATTCTAAAAAATTTCCTATTTTACGCTTATTACAAATATCCACTAATAACAGAATTTTATTGGTATATAAAATAAAAAAAGGAAAATGTTGCTCTTTGGCAACTCTCGGCTGTCAGGGGTCAAAAGTTTCTAAATTTATTACAAAGCTTCGGTGGCATTATTTAATGACTGTGATATATCATCAACTCTAAATAATAATTAGTAACTGACTTAGCCATTAATTCGAACATTTACAACAAATAAATAAATCTTCCCATCGATTAAAGACGCGTCTAGGTTGATGAATGTGAGTATCAATCTAATGATGAGGTTGACACGATGAATTTGAATGGCGAATCTATATAATATTTACACTCTTCTCTAACCTCTCACGTACTAAACTAAAAAAGGTGGAGTTCTCACCGAAAACAAAAATCTTACGAAATTTTTCAAGATATGTCTAGTTTGTTGGATAGTGAAACTATATAAGATTTCTTTTAGTATAATCTGTACCAAAAATGTACATCATTCAATGACAAAGGTATGAAATTTTTGCAATATTCATAAGATATTTACTCTGTGCTATGAATATTGCTGATTGATTCATAAATATCAAAGAAGAGTTGAGATTAAATTCAATTAAGATCGAAGTAAAATTTGTATAAAATAATTGACAAGTTTGATTTGTTGAAAAATAATTTAATGTCGATATTGTTCCATTTGAATTTATCATTTCACATATACATTGGTTTTGCGTTACATCCCATAATGATTCAGATATATTACCAATCAATATATTATTATCTATTTTACTGATAAGAATACAATCACCGGTAGAAACTACCAGTAAGACAAAAAATATCCAAAACATCTTTTATGACTTGATCTTGTAAACTTTTTTGTTAGAAATATTTTATTTACTAAACATTACTGTTTCTCTTTTCTTTCATTTTCTCCAACTCTCTCTTTTTTTAATATTTAATGTCTACAAAAAAAAAGTACTGTAGATTGTTTGTCAGATTTGTGTGAAAAAATAACTGCAGTCATGACTAGCATATATATACAAAACGAGTAGAATAGTAACAAGGAGAAGAAAATATTACCTTGATTCTTTAATTATTTATGGAATTAAAATCGTCACCATCAAATGAAGAAAAGAAAAGAAACAGTTCCTTTTTCTGTATATGGAATGACGTTCAGTCATACAGAATAAAGTAATTGACGATCATATTTCTAGAGCGCATTCTAAACGGTGATGACCAAGCCGTTGCTATATGTTGTTTGGTTCAACATACTGATTAATGCATTACAAACTAAGATCATTGTGAATAATCTCATTTTTGGATATCAACACGACTAAATTGTTTCAACTGTTAGAAACTGGCGTGTAAACTGTTACAAAATCGCTTTTTTATCATTTAATCTCGTACTTTCGTTCATAAACGTTTAAATGCTCAGAAAGTTGATATGTTATGAGGTTTATCTTCAAATTATAAATAACAGATTTTCCGCTGTTAATAATCATCGTGTAAACGCTCTGTAACTGAAATTTTTAATTTGTTTTTCATAAGTTTACTCCGTAACCGATGATTAAAAGTTTACCGTGTAACCGGTGAAATAAAAAGAAGAATAAATATTTTTTTTCATAAATTTACTCAGTAACCGATGATAAAATTTTTACCGTGTAAGCGATGAAATAGGCGAAATAATAAATGTTTTCTTTTCATAAATTTTTACCGTGTAAACGATGAAATAGGTAGAATTATGAATGTTTTCATACATGAAACTTTTCATTGGTGAATTTAAGAAAAATATTGTTGCTTTACACTTGCAATATAAGGAATTCTATTTAGGAAGACGCATCTAAGCTTATCCAATCATTAAAGTTCGAGCGTTTTAATGGGTAAGAGAAACTTGCATTGCTAACAGTATTAAACGAGCACTAAGATGATTTAAACTCATATATTTCTGAACATCTACCTTTCTTTAACCGTGGAATGACGTAAAATACTCATTCTCTCCGCAGTTTTATGCTGTAATTTTGAATGTATATTCAAAATTCATTATTCATGAGTACTTTAGGAATATTTTTTTTTCTGACAAAATAATGATATATACTTCATATCAAAGTTAAAAAAAGATTACTTTTATCTAGAAGAAGGAAATCAATACAGTATATTTTTTAATCAAATGAATATGTTCGCATGATTATAACAAATGATGTATTATTCTTTTACTTGAGGGTGGGTGTGAGTGTGTGTATGAGCCTTGTTCATATCTCACACCCTCACCCACACGCCCATCTACGTATCTTACTTTTTCTGTTACGATCTTCTAAAAAACAGTATTTCCGAACATCCGTAATAATCTTCATAAATAAAATTTATTTCCGAACTTCCGCCATAAATCTCTAAGAGAGTTTCTTTTACGAATTTCCCCGAAGAATCGTCAAAAAAAATTTGCTTCTGAACACCCGGTCATGCTGTCAGATGTTCGTAATAGGTGGTACGAAACGTAGTTTACCCCATTTCTCTTATAATAATTTTAACAATTCAATTTACATTTCCTAATAAGTTTATTAATCGAACCTTTCCAATCACATAGATTGAGGCATGTACGATTTGCATATTGATTGTTTTCTTGAAATCTTTCGTTTTCATTTTAGATGAGATTCTGATCAGAAACTAATTCTAACTAAATGAAGAAAGATTACTAAATCGACTTGGTCTAATTTATGATTTTCTTCTCAGAATTCTTCATTATTCCAGTGTATCTAGTTATACTATTAAGCGATTCTTTTGAGACAAAGGAAAATTTCTATATGATACATTTCGACAATATTCAAAAGTGACAGGTTACCAGTTTAAGTTGAATTTTTCTACATGAGTTAAAGAGGTACAGTACTAACCTCAAACGACGTGTAATCATCATTTTAGTTTAAAAAAAACCTGTAATTTATTATTTATCTCTTGAGGATCTATCAAATGCGTTATATTTCTATGAAACTTCGATGAAAATTTGTTTCATAGACATCAATATTTTGTATAGATTGATGATTATGAAAAGTATAATATCTATAGACGTTTCGTCAGATAATTATTTCATTTTTTCTTTATTATTCTTTTAATATTCGATAGTATTGGTTGTTTAGTTTCAAGTGTAAATGGGATTTCGTGTTACTAAGATATTTTCAAAATCGAGTTTGAAAAATAAATCTCGAAAAAGACCGTTTAATTCAAAAACAATTGATTCTGAAGAGACTTCGGCTGAATGTTCTTTTTCTGTCATTTCGAGCCGAACCGATTGTTGATTTACATACGGATGTGTTTAATATCTCTGTCAAGCTTTCTTAACTCTCAATAACTTTAAATTATTTTTCAGAAAGTAAATTTTTCTAGCTCTCAGTGATAAATTTTCTGTTAATTCTCTTCTATTTTTATACTGACCTGGTGGAAATCGTGTTTCACTAATAATATTCATACTAGTAGCATCCACATCAGCTAATATATTTCCATTTTGGTTCAACATATTATCAAATAATTCACAATTAGAAGTTGATTGATAAAAAGTTGCTGCTATGCATTGACTTTGAGTTAAACAGGCCACTTGACAATTCCTAATGTTTGATGTAATAACATTAGTGACTGGTAAACAAGTTGTATTGGCACATTGAAATTCAGCATCTGGTATTAAAGACATTATCATTGATTGTGTATCTTCTCCGGCTGTTTGTGTGATAATCATGAATGAAAGCCATATATAAACTATTGTTGAAGCCATCAAACACCAGATTCTAAGTTGATCAAATGAATTCAATTCATAATAGGAAACAAAGTATTTATTGAACAATAAATTCTTTTTTTTCTCTCTTTTCAGTGGGTACTGCATATTTTTTTCCCAAAGCTTATTTCGTCAATCTAACGGAAAAACAGTCCTAACATCTTTTTCCCAGAATTCATTTTATCAATTTAATCAAACAAAAGTAGTCAGGTCCCTTTTTATTTTCAAAAATATTTATTTATTCGGAGAGATGATTTTTTCTACGCGTTTAAGTGTTATTTGAGAACAAATATATTTATCAATAACGCTCTTGAGTTATATGAAAGATAAAAAATATAAAGAACGATCGATCCATCAACACTGAATTTGAACAGAAAATATAATCAACATTTAGTTGCAGATAAAGTTTTCTATAGAAATCATAATGAACTGATACATCATTCATATAGAGTAAAGTTAGTCTTTAATATTTAAACGAAGAATAATCAGATAAGTTTTTATGGCACAAAGTATAACAACATTTCAAAAATCTCTCGTTTTGTTATTGTTCGTTTTGATTGAAAGAAAAATATTATGATTTGTAATTCAATAGATAATCATATTTTTCGCCGTCAATCTGAAAATGGTTCAAACAGTTAAGATTTATATTTGTGTAGAATAGTGTTAACATCCTACACTAGTCGACGTTCTTGTCCTGTTCTTTCCAGGTTCTTGCTTTTCTTGATTTTCTGACAAGATTCTTGTGTTCAGGCAAGATTCTTTTCGACAGGAAAGTAAAAAGAATCATACAAGAATTTTCAGTTGACAAGTATCTTGTCTGAACAATCAGAAATAAAAGAATCAGGCAAGAATTATAAGATATTCAAGATATGTTAATATTCAGACAAGAATCTTTTTCTTCTCTCTCAAAAGAATCTTGACTGAAGTTCATGATAGAAAGAAACTGGAAAGAAACATAAGATATTTTAAATTTCTTACTATTCAGACAAGATTCTCGTAATAGAAAAGCAAAAAATATTCTTGCCAGCTTTCCAAGATGAACGGCACGTGATATGGTCTTTGTTTATCATATATATAAAAGCATTGGCTGACCGTTATTTATTCATAACCATTACTGACTGAATAAGTATAGTACACATTCACTTACACTATTTTATTTTCCTAAATCGTTTATTTCGTTTGGACGACATCTAGTAAGTTATTATTTTAGCTGGATGCATAGTAAAAGTTTATTTCATATAAAGAAAACAATGGAATATGTGATATCCATTTTCTCATTGTTTACTGAAGGTGATCCTTATTGAACATATTTTGATATTTTTCTAATTCATATCTATATATTTTATTTTTTTTTCTAGATTTTTCACTATCGATAAAAGTATTACATATAATGGACGAAGAAAATATTGATTTATTTAAAAAATTATTGTTTGATAATCCTCTTCGTATAGGTAAAATTTTAAGAAAATAAATAATAAAAATTTTGTTTTTTATTTTTTTTTGTGTTAAAAATTAAAACTACTTCATGAATATGTGAAAACTAAAGTATTTTTTTGTTCTTTCGTGTTTTTTTGTACATGTTGTGGAATGCTTATAATAAAACGATATGAAAAAGGTAGTAATAACCTAAAAAAGGCTTTTTTAATATGACCAGAATTAGGCAAGAAGCCTAAGAAATCAGAAACAGGCAAGAAAATCAAGAAGGATAAGAATCAGACAAGAAAGTAAGAATGATAAGAATCAGGTAAGAATTTAAGGAAAACAAGAATCAGGCAAGAAAATATGAGAACAAGAATCTGTCTGAAGAAGAATTTCTTGCCTCATCAGACAAGATTCGGTCTACACGAATATCACAAGAAAGGCAAGATCAGTTTTTTCAGACAAGAATCTTGTATGTAAAAACTTTTCAGGCAAGAATCTTGCATGTAAGGAATAGAAAAAGAATCCTGCCTGAAAATCAAGAAAAACAAGAACCTGGAAAGAAAAGGACAAGAACGTCGATTGGTGAAGTTAGTTAAATATTGATTTATCATAACAACACGTTCAAAATTTTTCTTTCTCCATAAAAAAATAGTTCATCGAGTAAATGTTTACCTTTTTTTTCTTTTATTTATTGTATGTTTACTATGATGTTTTATGTATACAGAACAAGAAACAGAGATCTTATAAAGTCATTTAGGCTCTGCTATAATCATACTAACAGAAACCATATTGCTTCACAAAAAGAAAGTTGCATATGAATAAAACAGTGATCACAACAAAAAGTTAACTTTTTCTCAATGGAAAACAGAATCTTCATGATTACATTGGAAATCCTAACAAACGAAGATGATGACAAGTCTTTCCTTTCTTCCAATATTAGATGTGGATTTACATTCATTTTTTTTATCCAAACCTGCATCCTGCATCCACCTCTTCTATTATCTCAACAATTTCATAATAATATAATTAAGAGAATTAATAATTGATAAAAGATATTATAGAAGTCATGCTGAAATCAATAAAACAAGTGTGGATGCGGGTGTGAGGGCGGGCATTAAATTGAACCTCCACCCACACCCACCCTCTCGTTGGTATTCCAAACAAATAATAATTCTTGTATGATTTGTTGTTTATCAAGAGGATGGATTACGACAGAGAATATGTAAAAAATGAGTTTAATTTTACTAATTTTTCCCAAAGAAAAATTATTATTCATCAATAAATATTGAATGATGGAACTGAAATTAGATATGGTCATTAAAATAATACATGTTTTGATAGTACTGTTGATATTAGTGGAAAACAAATATATTTCAATAAATCAAATATGCTTTCTCTCAAAAATAAACGATGCTAAATGAAAATTGTACAAAGAAAAATAAAGATTTTAATTGTGGATGAAAACATCTGGAATAAATTCAAAATAGTTCAGAGGAAAATTTCTAATGTTGTCTATAGTTATTGATAATTGTAAATTAATAGAGACTCATATTGTCAATAATTGTTATATCTCTTACGTAGAATATGAATAATCAATAATGTCTCCATCATTCACATGACCACAATAAATAAAGCTAAATGTTAATGTAATGTAAACAAAATAGCTTCTAATAAGTCTTTTGAAATTGATGAAAGAATATTATTTTGTCTATAGTCGCACATGAACTAGCTTCTGAGACTTTCGTGTCTGACATGTTTTTTGTGTGGATAACGCATGTTTACGTAGAATTTCTTCACGTTCTTTTTGTGTTATGTCGATACCAAAGATATACTTGAGTACATCAAGGACAAGAACAAAACCGAAGACGAATGATATGGCTATTATGACAATGTATGCAAAACTTCTTGCCATATATTGACGAACGAGTATACTAGTTGATATATGTTGACAATAATCTCCCGAAGTACCAAATAAACATTCACATTTGTAAGCAAGATGTAACGGTCGACAGATACCTTTCTTCAAGCATGTTATATTATCACAGTAATTAATGATATGTTCACAATGAACACCTATACGTTCTCGTGTACAATTACAGACAAAATGTGTATTGTTCAGTTCCACGCAAGTACCTAAAATAAACGTATATGTATTCTTTAATAATTACAAAGAAAGTTTTAGTTAACTCAAACCTTCATGTAAGCATGTATTCGATTTACAAAGTCGAATATCTTGTTCACAATCGATACCGATAAAACCTGGCATACACGTGCAGCTATAGCCATGAAGAAGACTAGGATCATTGGTACAATTTCCTCTATTATAACAAGGTTTTGAATCGCAAGGCATCATTGATATATTGCAGAACTCCCCAGTGTAATTGCCATCTTTACACTTATGGGCAACAAAATAATCTGATGGATGTAGTTCACCTATATCGAATAAAATAGAAATTTTACTTTTGTAAAAGATATTATAAAAAGTAGCATCGTAAGGTTGAAAATAAATGTAAACTCTTACTAGTAGATAATATTGTTTTAATTGTTGTCATTGTTTCCATTATCGAAGAGTCTGAAATAGAATAAAGTCGAAATTTTGTTAGTTCAAATAATCTTTTTTTTGAATCCTTATTCACCATCCGCAATCACATCTAGATCTCTATCTAAGAAGGCCAGAGTGAGTGTAGATGGGTGTAGGTGTATGGTTAATACAATATCCACACCCACACGCTCAAGATCAACTTTTATTTTCGTTTATCAATTGTACAAAAAATTTGCAATTCACTCATATATATATGACAGTAAAGTCGAAACGTACCCATTAACACATCAGTTGTCGTTGGCGTTGTTTTCGATGAAATGTTATCTAAAATATATTCGCGAACGTATGATCTTATGAGTAATAATAACCTTTAATCAACACATACGATTCGGTTCAGTGGATGTTGGCATGTCTTCTGTTGAACTTTCAGCTGAAATAGTGAACGCGTTAATTATACTTTTGGTGATGAATATCACTTACTCAGAAGTGTAGTTGGTGACACGTCCTTTGTTGTTACCTTATCGACTGTTTTCGTATTCGGCCAAATTGTAGAGTGACTTGTTGTAGTGGATTGAGTCGATGCTGAGTCTTGAGACATTTCTAGACCGTGATCCGTTGTAACGATTGGCTTGTCTGTAGATTGACTTGCTATGACGGGCTGAGGTGTTGTTACGATTTGATGACTTGATACAGTTTGACTTGTTATAGTGGGTGGTCCGGTTGTAGAATAGCTAGATATTACAAGCTCAGACGTTGTTGAAGTTCGAGGCACTGTAACAGTCTTATCTGTTGTGGTAGATGGTCTGGCTGTAGAGTGGTCAGATATTACAGGCTTAGGCGTTGTTGAAGTTCGAGGCACTATAACAGTTTCATCTGTTGTAGACGTTGGTTTAATCGTAGGTTGAGATATTGTTGGTGTCTGGAGAGTTGCTATATTTACATATTCTGTAATGATTGACCAAATTGTAGAGTGACTTGTTATAGTGGATTGAGTTGATGCTGGATCTTGAGACGTTTCTAGACTCAGACCCGTTGTAATGATTGGCTTGTCTGTAGATTGACTTGTTATGGCGGGCTGAGGTGTAGTTAAAGTTTGATGAATCGATGCAGTTCGACTGGTCGTAGTGGATGATCTAGTTGTAGAGTGATCAGATATGACAGGCTCAGGCACTGTAACAGCTTCATCTGTTGTAGACGTTGGTTCGATCGGAGGTTGAGATATTGTGGATGTCTGGGGAGTTGCATATGCTGTAGTGATTATTGGCAAAATTGTTGATTGATTTGTTACTGCGGGTTCAGTTGTTGTTGGATATTGAGAAGTCGATGTAGTTTGACTGGTTATAGTAGTATGATATGTTGATGCAGCTGCAGCTAAACCAAAGGTATATCTGTATCTTTTTTTGTTCTATTTCCGTAATGTTTATGACAAGAGCGAAGTAAAAGCAAAGTCTTCGAGAATAATGAATCTATAGAATCTAATCAATATGATATATTCTTAAAGATCGGATGTGAGTATGAGTAAGGCTCACTGAATATTTGAAAGAAGATAGTATGCACACTTACTCCACATCTACACTCTCGCACTCGCAAGTACATATATTTATCATCTCATCTGCTATATCCATTGACTCTAACCCTTACCTACCTCCATCTAAATACATGAATACTTCAAGTGAGGATTCAACAGTGAGCTTAATTTTCAAGATGACACTACTAAATGTCAGTAGAATATATTCTGAAGCAAAATAAAATTGCAATCAGTGTTTATTATATGATGATGTTCGCTCATCAATCGCAAGAGCTTTCTCTTTACTTGTGATGAACATCGATTATCTTTCCAATCTGATACCTTCCTGAATTTCTTAATATATTTAGTGTCGCGAGATACTCAACTGGTCTAGTTTTTAATACTGAGGAACAATGTGATGAAAAATATATGAATGAAAACAAGTTTAGACCTCGAAATGATTTAAGTTCATGATCTCGATTTTACAACATTTTCATCGGTTCTAAACAATCGATGTACGATCTGTACTAAGAGTGATGCTACCATCACACGAAGAGGCCAATGATACTGACATCTAATGGCGGACGTCCTTTCTCCTTCCTCTGAAGCTCAATATTTTTCTCCTTTCTTCTTGATTCAGCTTCTCTCGCTCTTAATCTTTTCTTTATGATCAGTTGATTAAAGGTTGGCCTGACAAGGTAGACATTTTTCAGAAAATACAAGGTGAATCAAAGATATATCAAACAAGTCATGTTCTTCCTTCTATCATGGCATTAAGGATCATATCAATTAGACGTGACAAGGTTATTAGAATTTCGAACACGATGATAGTTGCCTGTTTTATCAACACTCGCTATCCCTGTTCGCGCAACGAGTTACCTTTTTGTTTGTATTTCTTTTCTTATATTATCTCTTTCTCTGCGAAGTCAGTCGTTTACGATGAATAACGAAAAGAAGTCGGGTCGTCAGACGGACACACAGAAGTATTGCCTATGCTTTCCTGCTAGTGTGTACACCTATGATTATTCTATTATATAAATCACTACGGCCCTATGCTGTCCGGATATTCTCTTGAATCTATATCTTCTGACCTCGATTGATATATCTATATATATACTTATTATCATCTCTTCTTTTTCGTTACACGACCTACGACAAAATGTTTTATAATGAAGAAAATAACTAAGTATTCCCACCAATTTATGTTATGCAATACTACGTTATAAAGTACATAAGAACCTACTTGTCGGAGGAGGAAGAGTACCATTAGATGTTACAGATGAATTTAAGGAAGGTCTTGGGTTATCTGCTGACTGCCATGTATTATTGATCCACTTTAGCCAACCTTTTAATGTAGACTGACAATAAACTGTATGATTCCAGTACACCAAAAAGTAATTCAGAAATAACAACACCACTTTTTTTATTATTGTTATCTTCGCCTTTGTCACATAATCTCTTTTCGTTGCCGTTCTCTGTTCATTACCCAGCAAACCAATCACTTGATAGTTTCTTGATCGTTAGGTTTTGTAAATAATCTAATATTTTCTTTCAGATCGACTGTGCGCATAAGCACTATAAATAGCTCATAATTGAAGACGATGTTTAACATAACGTTGCCTTTAAAGTAGTCAAATATAAAAAATAATGGTTCAATACCCCTTATATAGCAAACTATTATCCCATTTTCCGAAATACACTCATATAATAATCATACTTAGTGATAAGTCATGGCTTTTCTATAGTGATGCTGTAAGCTTTAAAGTTAGCCCTTTGTTAGGCAAATTATTGAGATTTTCTGACAGCTAAATACGACATGAGTAGGGAGCTGCGGAGTACTCCGAAACCCGATTATGACTCCGACTCCGTCGGAGTCGGAGTCAGAGTCGGAGCAAAAAAATAGAAATTTTTTGGATTCGGAGTCGGAGTCGGAGTCAAAAAAAGTTGACTCTGCAGGTCCCTAGACATGAGGTTTATGATGGAAAAGTCAAAATGTTATCTCATTTCTGAGACATTTTTTATCTGATTAAGTGCCCACCCCTTTACTGCTCTTAAACAGAATCTAAAATTTAGAGAAATACTGATTTTACTGTTTCTTTATATCTTTTCTCATCTTATGGGTGGATGGATGTGGGTGTGTTTAGGTGTGGATGCGGGTGTCGATACTGGTGTGAGTGCGGGTGTCGGCATTGGTGTGAATGCTGTTGTGGATGTGGGTGTGAGGTGGATCAATGTGTGGATATATTGACTGTAATACTAATACTCATACTCACAATCACACCCACACTCGAATTGAGAATTTGTTATAGAGTAACAATATGTTTTTTGTATATACATATACATATCTGATTGTAAGTGATCTCAGACTCTCAATACCATCAACACAGTTCACTAGTAGTATCATCGGATATGTCAACCATAGTCTCGTTAATCAATGTATTCAAACAAATCCTCTCTCGATCATTTAGATTACGTCAATTGTGAATTTTCCTCAATTCAACGGTTTTCCAACAGTCTCTAAAAAGTGATTTCTAAGTTTCGATCCCATTTTTCTTTTTGTTTTATCTTTAATACATTCAAATATGGAGAGATATCTGGCAAATATTTTTGAAGATTAATATTTAAACTATAAAGCAAAACAAAAATGCATACAATTTGCACCAATCATAGAAGAGCAGTACAACGACAACAATTTTGAAAAATCATTTTTTAATTCTTTCTTGTAAAGAACGACTCTCTTAGTATCTTGAAAATACATCTCTTAGTGTTGAGCGCTTTGACTTGAATTCTATTTAAAAAGATAACTTATCTAGATCTTTGCGAAATCCTGTAAAAATAATCCTTGAAAAAGATAACTGAAAACTGCCTCTGAACAGCAATACTAAGTTTCAAAAACATTTACTTTCAGAGGCACTTCTTTTACAAAAATAACTATTTCTAATTTACTAACAAAGCAGATTTCAAACCATTACAGTTTATTTATTTCAAGAATTATTTCTATTGGAGTTTGCAGAGAATTAGACAGGTTATTTTCTTGAAAAAATTCAGGCCAAAGCGACAAAAAGTAAGAGAGATATTTTCAAAATACTGAGAAGACCATTCTTTATGGAAAAAAACGAAAAAATGATTTTTAAAACTTTTTCTCAATGTATTGCTTTCCTATGGTTAGTGAAAATTGTATGTAATTTTTGTGATTGATAACTTAAGGTGTTACGCTTCAAAAACATCTACTCAATATCTCTCCATATTTGAATGTGGCAAAGATAAAACAAAAGGGAAAAAGGGGCCGAAACTTAAGAAATACCCGTTATTGTTGTTTTCGTTTTGATACAACCACCCTTTATCGTTGACTGTCCAATTGATATGATTGATATCATTAATAAAACCACCCGAAGTAGTGTTAACAACGACACCGTGGGGTGATTCGGTATTTACTAAAGAAAAGTATTCTAAGACATTCTCTCATCATTATTGAAAACAAATTTTACCTAAAGAAATTGCCCAGAAACAAAAATACAAGATTATCAATATTCGGATGCTTTGTTCTGATAATCCAAGCTAAAACTCAAGATATTATTAATAGAAGCAGATGTTAAACGATATCATACCATAACGATAAAATCTTCAGAAGTAACCAGTTGTTTTTATTCAATGTCTCTTGGCTTTTATCTGATGTTGCAATTAAAGGAAATAAAAAATATCAATCTCCGAATGTTTTCCAAATAAATATTGCTGCACTTTTAAAAGGTAGTATAACAAAAAAAATAGACATGCTAATCAATAGTTTTGTTGTCTGACTTCCGAGAGCAAAGAAATATGAGATAATTATAATTATATCAATAGCTGAATAATTGTCAGTATTTCTATTGTTTTAATAGCTACTGCTGTCGGAAGTTGATCTTTTTCATCCGATACTTAGTAAAGATTTCTTTTTTTTTCTTCTTCTTATTTGCATATTACGGGAACGATAATTGTTTTAGATTTCTTTTTTACGGAAACATTAAAACAATAAAAAAAAAATTCAATTAATTTATCTAATTAGTTATATAATGCACACATTCTGTGTTCATTTCATGTTGTTTTGATCGTCACTATTTATCAAGAAATATCTTCGAGATAAATCAGTGCATTTGATAAGTTCATCCATAGCTACAACACCATGAGACATCATTATTATTAATATATAGACTAGTAAACTTTAGTGATTTAATCGTGAATGGCCACGCAAAAATGAAAGTGATTATTAATAGATTGATTTTGTTTTCTGTACAGAAAAACGTTTTTATGGTAGATTATATAACATGATTCTTCTAAGAAAAATTGTAAACGATAACGTGCACGAGGTTCAATTTGAGGGTGGGTGGGTCTAGAGTGGATGCTTGAATTTGAGTATGTGATGAATATAATACTCACACCCACACCCTCAAGCGTAAGATAGAAAAAAAGATAATTGAATATATCGTATCATAGACAATCCTTGAAAATTTATTCATCTGAAGAAAAAAAACAACAAAGCGAAAGTATTGGTTTAGTTTTTTATCGATTGAAAAGGACGTTCCAGTAAACCACGATGTATGATGTTGATCGTACTTCCTTCTTGAATCTTATAGTCACTCACTTTCTTCCAATCATCAAGCATTTGACCCATGTGGATTAATCTTTGTTTATCACGATCTATTCCTGTCTTTTTTTCAATCTTTATTCTAACACTTTCACAACTTTCCGATTGTTCGATATCAATACTGCAGATATTGCCATCGAGATTCGTTAGAAAGACACGCATCTTATCAAGAAATGAAACTGAAAATCAAGTGTGTTCTTCTTTTTCTTTCTTCTTCTGTTGACTAATGAGTCATTCAAGTTATGTTATAACAACAAATCTTCAATCTTACTTTATGATAAGAATGAGAAAAGAAAAATCCAACATCAAATGAAAGAAAATATCTGTTTTGGAATTTTCCAAGGTGTGGGTGTCATCTCTTTCATCACCGTCACCCACACTTACACTCAATTCTAAAATCTAGTTTTTTGAATATTTTCAGATGAATTTTTCAAGAATGCATTGAAATGTTGGAAAATGTATTTTGTTTGAAAATATAAAAATATATTTTTTAGATAAATTATTGTTAAATTGAAATAAAACTATTCTCAATAATTATTTGTTATTTTATAGGATTGTACAAATTGATAATAATTTAAATAAAAATATCTAAAAGATGAATTTGTATGAATGATGATGGTTTAATGTTATTGCTTGAAACTAAAAGATAATTAAATCGAATTAATTAGACAATTCTTATGTAGTAACAAAGATAATTTGAATAATAACAAAGAAAAGAGATATAAATTATTATATTTGTTCTCTGAAAGTTTAAGAAAAACAAAAACTCAATTATTTCTTTTAGACAGAATGAAAACTAAGAGATAAATTAATATTTAGTTTATTATCTAATAAATTTATAATCGATAAGTTTATCGAGAAGAGTATTGATTGTATGTGAAAGAATATAATCTTTATTCATTGTTTTTATTAAATTGTGTCTAAGAAAGAAAACAATTTTCATATGTGAAAAATTCATTGACGAATTATAGAATTTCTATTTGACTAAATAAAATTGAGTTTTAATTATTATTTCAATTAGAAAAACTATTCATTCAGTATTAAAGAATATTTTCATCTATAAGACATTAATTAAACAATTATTGGTTTTTTAAAATAAAAATAAATTCATTTAGATTTTAAGATAATTCTTAGAGAAAAAATTTCAAAATATCAAAGATTAATTTAATATCTTATTTGACATATATGTAAAGATATTTATAGGATAATCGTTTAAATTTATTTAAAAAAAATCTCACATCAAAACTTTTATAGAATTTCTATGAAAAAATTCATTTTAAATAATAAATCATTTTTTCAAATATATAATATGATGAGAAATAGTTTTGTTATGTCAAATTTTTTGTTTTGATCATCGCAACTATTATTAATTTCAATCATCGCAGATGTTTGGTATTATCGTTTTTCTAGACCTTTTTATACCAAATCTCTTAAGAGAAAAAAAATCAAACTTCTATTCTGAGATATGTAAATACATTTTCAAATATCCGATTCTATGCAATACTTTCGTTTTTATGATTAAATCTGATTATATCTTATACTTATTTCGATATAGTTTCTCATTTTCAATTAAATTCTTATATTTTCAATTTCATCAGTCTACAAAACTAAATTATTGAAAATGTTATTTTTAGTTGAAATTATTTCTAACGTTCTAAAATCTTATTTTTCTTCATTTTGTTTCATTATGAAACACGAAAAATCCATTAGATCAAAAATAAAAATGTGTTTTTTTCTTCTCTTCTTCACTTGAAATGCTTTGTCACATTTCTTTTTTTTAAATCAAATGTCTAGTTGGAAAGAAACACACGAAATATAAAATGTTATTCTTTTACGAAACAGTCAGAAGAATTTATTCACCGAAAAAGAAATTCAGATTGAGACATAAGAATGAATTCTTATTTTATATCGGAATAGTTATACAAAACATCATAAGTTTAGAAATTCAATTGTTTGAAATAGTTTCATTTTGGTAAGTTTATTTTTTGAAATAATATGAAAAATGAGTACAGAGAATATCATAGAACAATTATGTTGAGAATAAAGATAAAATTGGATAAAAGTGAAGATGATGATATAGTTAAATAAGTGATAGACATACAATTATATTCATCTTTTCATATTGAGCCTCCTCACTCAATGTTGACATTTGTGCTCAAGTCAGAGTTTCGATGAACTATGATTTGTTTTAAATATGAGAAACGTTTTTTTTTTTTGAAATAATATAAACGATTGAGATAGACAACAAATGTATATCAATAAATAATAGTCCTGTATCACCCATGAACTAAAGTTTGAGTTAAGATTTGTGATTTTTATAAGAATTCATTTCTTTTTATGTAATTGTTATAAAAAAAAACTCGCGTTAAATATCGGGAATGTATGACTGAAAAACAATTATGATTGGAAAAAATCGATCTTACTTATAAGAATTGATTTTAAATAATTACATCATTATAAACAGAGACGGTTACAGACGCAGATGTTCTAAATGTAGTTATTCTATGTCACCCATATCCTCAACCTCAACCTCATCCTGATTACTACCTACTACTGACTTATGAAATAATTTTCTTCTCTTCGTACGAGACTGGCAATAATTTTTTTATAAAAAAAGTAAATGTAACAATGAGAGCAAAAAATATTTCTCCCGATATTGAGAATATAAGAACGGTGATAAACGTTTTTTTTGCGTAAAGTACTGAAGTAAAAAGAAATACGCTTTTTTCAGGAAGGAAAGCATAGGATTGAGAGCAAGAAAAATATATCTGCTAATGAGAATGCAGGAATGATGATAGACAAGTTTCTTTTCCGGGAAAGAGTCTGAGAATGTGAATGAGAATAAATAAGTTTTTTTTCTGGAAGGAGAATGCAGAAATGAGTGAAAAAAATTCTTTCAACCAAGAAAATATAAATATGATGATGAACTAGTTTTTTCTGGGAAAAAAGTGTAACAACACAAATAAAAAACAATTTTTTCAGAAGGTAGAATGTAGGAATGACGGTAAGTTGTGTTCATAGAAAATGTCTGCATATTTTGCTCACTTCCTGGAATTAGAAACATAAGGAATCCTTGCAAGATCTTTGTCAGATTCTCAGAAATATAGAAAGAAGATACCAATAAGGCGTCATAGACAATACAACTCATTTTTTAAATTAATTAGACTCTTCGCATCATACACATTTTGACATTGTCATTAAAAGCTGGATAAAAAAGAGTTCAATTTGAAGCAGAATTTGCGTGATCCATCGTGTTACGATAGCTAGGATGTTCATGTAGATTATTTCAACTTATAGGAAATTAAAGACTCACAATTAGTTGAGTCATTTTTGTATGTTAGGTGAGCCAATTCTTTCCGCGTATATGTTCGCTCCTTCTTATGATTCTACTATATCCGGGTAGATCTTGAAAAACTACACATACTACGTTCAGATAGACTTTGAAAAACTATAGGTACTACGTCCAGGTAGATCTTGGAAAACTGGGTATTATTTCCAGATAGACCTTTAAAAAATTACAAGTAATACACCCATGTAAATCTTGAAAGATTATCGTGTTGATAGAAGAGGAGCAGAAAGTAGGTTGGATTATATCAAAGTGAGAACTTTAGTGTAATCAGTTAGTTTTTCTATATGAAGTGAGCCATATTTCTTTAGTTGACCTGTTTGGCTTTCTTTCCATGACCAGCTGTCTACTATCATCTTCATTGTCATGATCATCCTTACACTCACTTTGTCACCTATCATCAAGATCAATAATAAGTACTGATCTAGTTTGTTCAAATTTATTTATCATTAATCTTATCCTCTTTTGATAAGGAGAATTATTATTTGTATATAAGGAGGTTATATTAGACGGATAAATATTTATAGAAATGCTTTGAAATCATCCTTTATCATTTTGTAGAATTCGTAATAAGGGAAAAAAATCGCAAAAATGATCATTTCATGTTTTGATATTGATATGAAAGTTACCATATGTTTAGTGTTAAATTGATTTCTTCCTCTCAAAATGTGATTGAAATCAATTTAAAGTTAATAAAGTCAGAAAGAATGGTTAAATTTTAGGATCAACAATGTTTTTTTCTCCTATTTATAGCTTAAAACACCAAAATAAAACTTAATTAGTATTATTATATCAGTGAAATTAAGTTGAAAGATGTTTTATCTATAAAATTAAAGTTATTCGAAATTACTTTGATGCACTATAAGATTTTTCAAATATGAAAGCATGATATTTATTTCTAAAACTTAGATTTAGCATCTCATTCAGATATAATTAAATTGAACGAATACAAAAATTGTAGTAAAGGAACTTTGATTGTCAATTTTTTCAAATTTAATAATCAAAATACAAATAAAATAAAGTTTTCCTTTTCTATTTTTTATTATTTAGTTCATCATTCAATAAAAAAAACAATTTGAATAATTAATTAATTATAATGAGTCATTCAGAAGATCGTCTTACATTTATCAAACTGAAAAATAAACGCTTACCAGCAGATTTGGATTATCTTACTTGTGAATTATTATCTCTTGAAGAAGCGATGAATGAATTACAAGGTGTTTTAGAAGACATAAATCGTTTTGTTAAAGAAGCGAAAAAACATTGTACATATCCAAATGATCATAACTTAACAAAAGATGAATCTGCTGCAATTTATATTTATACAATGGAAATTTCTGATAACTCAAGTATTTATCGAATTTTAAATCAAATACTTCGTCTAGAAGATCGATCAGAAGTTCGTCCATGGTTTGGATATTTAAAACTTTTAGATTCTGCAACATCGAAATTACCTAAAATCAAAGGAATTGTTTGGCGTGGAATTGATAAAGATGTTATTAAGAGTTTTAAAAAAGGTCAACGCATTACTTGGTGGAGTATAAGTTCATGTTCAACATCTGTTGATATTATTTCTTCATTTATTAACAAATCTTCTTCAAGTACAATGTTCCAGATCGAATGTTTAAATGGAAAATCAATTTCATCATATACATGTTATCCAAATGAAAATGAAATTATTTTAATGCCTGGAACAATGTTTGAAGTTGTATCTAATCCATTAAGTCATCATGGTGGATTAAATATTATTCATTTAAAAGAAATTAATGATGATGATGATGATGAAGAAGAAGAAGAAGAAGAAGAAGAAGAAGAACTACCTAGACCACCAAATCCAAGTAAGTACTTTAACTACTATATTTATTATATAATAAATCAATAAAATGAATTTCGATAAATAAATGAATATGAAAATAATTGCTTAAAATCTAATTAATAAATTGATAGAAAGTATTATTTTATTACTTATTTGTTTCAATAAAATATTAAAAATTTTATTAAACTAATACATAAATTAATACTATTAATTTAATAGTAACTATTATCTATCTCCATCTTTCTTTTTTATAATAAAATATGAACAAATTCTCTTTCTTTATATCTTTATTAGGAAAATTTCAAATCATAAAATTGACTTTTCATTCGTTCCATTTCAAATAACTTCGAAAACTTGAACAATAGTTCTCATTATCTAAATAATTATTTGTTTATTTATTTTTTCCAAACAAAAATATTATATTAATATTTTCAAATATTTTTATATGGATTAAATTAAAATAAATTATTTATTTTTCTATCACTATCGAATAAAATCATTGTATTTTCTTTTTATTAAGATTGTTAAGCTTGTTGTTTCTTTAACTTTTATTTATCACACACACACACTTGACACAAAATGAACGACTATATATAGGTCGGTAAAAGGAGAAAACCCATATATGAATACGAAAGGAAAATCTCTAAAATGATCATCTCTTAGAACAACATAAAAGATAAGATAACAGAGAGAGGAATAATCCCTCATATATGAAAGAGGAAAATACCTCTCGATAGAGAGAATGACAAGAAGGGAAAATACCTATATATAAGAAGAAGAACAGAAAGGAAAATACCTATTGATAGAGAGAATGACAAGAGAAGATAATACATATATAAGAAGAAGAATAGAACGGAGAACGAAAGAGAAAATGACACATATACGATCATCGTGATGATCGTTCTTATGAACTGCATATATGTAGATGCAGGGCATAACAAAGATTCTTATCAGTCAAAGCATCCTACACCTAGTGCAGCAACTGTATTAAAGTTTCCATTAACAACAAATGAAATATCAACTCATTCTCAAATAAAACAAAGTATGTATCATTAAATAGCAATAGCAGTAATTTTGTTTAAAAAATAGTTTCATCGGCTTTCAAATTGAGGGTGGGTGTGAGTGTGGGTCTGGGCCTGGGTATGAGTGCAGCTGTAATATTAATAGTTGTTATATTATTGTATCCATATCCACATCCACACCCAACTTTCGTGTCGAATAGTTTTCATATTAATTCATTTCCATGTGAACCAGCTTTTGTATCACTCAATTATCGACGATCAGTTTTTGTTAGATAGATTTTCGTAGTGCTATAAATTTCATCCTAAGTTACCTCTTTCTTTATCTTCTTAATACTTTTTCGCAGTTTTTCTGATGTGCTCGGGTACATTTCTTTTTCTCCTTTGAAGACTTATCATTTATTATTTCAGTTCCTAGCCCTTTCTACAATGCATGCCGAGATAATAACATTAGTTTGGTTGAAAATTATTTGCAAAAAATGTCATTAGAGGAAGTTAACCAAATGGAACCAAATGGGTCAACCGCTTTGCATGTAGCTGCATATCGAGGACATGAAAAAATTGTTGAACTACTATTAAAGAAAGGTGCTTCTTATTCAACAGTTAATAGATATAATTCTACTCCACTAGCTGAAGCTAAAACCGATAAAATAAAACAATTGATTCGTCGTCGTATGAATAAGACTCGTTTTGTCAGTGATTCTCTTGAATGGATTATTTCTACAAATGATGCAGATTATCAATCACATGAATATTTCAAAAAATTGGAAATTTATGGTAAAGATCCACACTTTCCTCGATTAATTATTTACATAAAAGAAAATTATCTTAATAAGGATCTGCAACATGTGGATGATATCAACACAATAAAAGAATATTTTGATCTTGCAATAAACAAAAAAGATCCCACTTATTTATTACAAGCATATACAGCTGAAACTGGTTTTTATTCTACACTTAATCTTCATTTGGCACAATTAAAACTCGAAAATTTAACTATTACAGAGAATCTTAGTCGAGCATATTATATTGGAATAATTGCTCGTCACCCGAAATTCAGTAGTTTGTCATATACTGGAACAACATATCGAGGTATGATGATTACTGAGGATGATATAAAACAGTATAAGATAGGCACTCGCATTTTAACAAAAACATTTTCGTCATCATCGAAACAATTGAATATAGCATCAAGATTTCTTAATAGCAATCGCGATGTAAATGATCGATTAAGCACAATATGTATTTATGAAATACGTAATCAAAGAACTGCATTAGATATTGAAAATATATCATTATTTCAAGATGAAAAAGAAGTTCTAATTTTACCATATTCAGCATTCAAAATAATCGACATTAAACAGAATAAAGACAAATCACCAAGAATTGAAATTAAACTAAAAGAATGTGAGCCATGGTAGAATGCTTGATTGACTGATATTTTTGGTTTTTGGTTTTGCTGTGTTGATTTATTATACAAAAAAAAATATGAAAATAAAAGAAAAGTCATTGTCATTCTATTCTGTCTAATGCCAACTGCTTTATTTTTGCTTAATATATGGTACCTTCATAATAGAGGGGTGCAAGAATACGGATACAACTTGTATCGGGTTTTTATTCAAATAGAGTATGGGTGTGGGTATGGACGGGTGTGGGAATTAGTATGAGTGATAATGAAGTGAACACCCTCACCGCTCTTTTTAAATTGTGGTATATAAAAGCGATAGCTTAGAAATTAACAACGGTAAATTTTTATTTGTAAAAGAAAATAATTACACGTTGATTATATAAAAATCAATATAAATTCTTCATTTCTATTCGTCCTTCTTTCTTAATTCAAGTGGTATTATCATAGACATGGAAGGAAATAACTGATGGATGTCATTAATTGATAAATCAAAATCAATCTGAGGTCGATCAGTAGTCAATGCAACCAATTCATATTTGTCAATATTATCATATTGAATGTGTAGTTTTTCCAGTGTTTCTTTGGCAATAGTCGATGCCAGTGTATCTTGATAGCAAGGTAATGTTATTGTTTGTTCTGAATATAGAATTGAACAATTCATAGGCATCGTAGAAATTAATTGAAATTGAATATCGGTTATGGTTTCATCCATATCCTCTAACGAGATATCATCTTCGATTAATGTGCCATCGTCTAGTGTTAACTGATAACAATTCTCGCTTAAACCAAATAATTCACACGAAATAGAGTGTAAACGTTTGATTGTAATCACCATTGAACAATTAAAATAAATTGACTGATTGTTTCCACTCTTCTGTACTGTAACAGTAACTGGCAAATTGTCGTCGGTTACGATAAATCGAGCAGGTGATTCGGATTGAAAAGATATTAGTTGAGTGTCTACGGATGGAACGAAATCATTCGAGTATACAAGATATTGATGTAAAACATCGATTTGATATTCTTTGCAAATGTCATCTATAGTAGCATGAATAAAATATCTCTGATACTTTTCATTTTCCTTTTCGAGAAGCGATTCATTCGATTTGTTAATCCATACAAGACATGTTTCATTTTCTTTTAGAAGAATAAATCTAGTCTGATTGATATTTGAAAGAATTACGTTAGCATCAATAACTCTTTGAGTCTCATTCGAAGCTAAATATTTGTAAATATCGATGGATTTGCCTGTTAATTCTAATAATTGTTTTATAGTTGTATTTCTATTCGATAGAGGTATTTTAATCTGTTCTTTATCATCATATTTTAATATTTGTATTGCAACTGTTATTCGAAAATGAACTGGTTGATTTTCCAAGATTGAATAATGACCTACATCATCTGTGATCAAAATCTCATCACTTGTTTCTCCTAATAGAAGAATACAATCATCTAGAAAACTATCAATTAAATTTAATTGTCGTAGAAGATTTTCATCTTTTAATAAAGTCGAAATTTTCATTGATTTTAATGTATGAATAAGTTGAGTATTTGTTTCATAAGAGAAAATAACTTTCGTAGTAATATTTCTATTGATAGCATCGACTATCATTGGCTCAGTTTGATCGATTATTGAAGATATTGTTTGACTATTATCAATAATTACTTTCTGTTTTCTCATAACAAAAGCCAAATCATCGATAGGTGGTTCATTTATTTGTGAAAGAGTTTTTAACCAAAGATCGATTTGTTGCCATTTTGTTGTAGGATGAAATAAGCTCGTTTGAATTCGACCTATCAAAGAGAAAATAGTATGTTATTGAAAGAATCTGAATAATTACCTTCTTTGTATCGTAAAATTAATTCACATAGATTATTAGTATCGAATGTTTCTTCTGTTACGAAGATAGTGATCGGTTTATTATTCGTTTTACAAAGATCACCGACGATTCCATCATCGATACATTTACCATATTCATCAAAGAAGCAAAGACAACTTTCTGATGATAGACGATCATTATCGATTAAACGATTGATAAGAGTTGAAACGTGACTTGATAATGTCGATTGATATTTAAATACTGTTGTTTGGAATTGAAACTGAATTTCAACTAAGAGTTGTTTTTCAATAATACGATATTCAGTAAGAGGTTGATGAGGTGGATGATAATCATTGTTAATAAAATCAACAAATATTTCATTTTTATCTATAACAACCAACGTATCAAGATCGTACTTTTTATCATCAAATAATTTTCTTAATTGTTCGCAGAACTTTTCACGTTTCCACATATATGTGATAGATTTTCCATCTGGATTTATAATTGTAAACTTTTGTATTGGTTTAGTTGTAATGGTCGGTGCTAATTTGTGTTCTTCTCGATATTTATGTATCTGTTGAATAAATGCTGATGATGTACTTGAAACTAATTTCAAATTTAATTCAATATGCTCGTCGGAGTAACCTTCAAATTGTTGTTTGTTTTTGATATCAGGTAGATTGTTTATTATTGCATCGTCTATTTCCATTGAAGGAATAACCCAATCACTTAATTCATCAGTATTTTGCTGTTCAGATTCATCTTCTGATTGTAAATATTGCTGAAAACGATTTTCTTGTTTCTCTTGTTGTTCGAATGAATTGAAATTTTCATTCCATAATTTCATTTCTTTTACTTCAATATTCATTTTTCGTTCTTGAAGAATTGATCGTGTTCGAATTAAATGAATACTAATCTCGACATAATTTTCACATTTTATTCTTTCTGGTATAGAAGAAAGAATTGAATTTTCGATTGCTAAATGTTGACATGTCTCTGTTAATGATTGAGTAGATCGTTGAAGAAGAGTATTTTCAATAGTTTTTAATTCATTGAGAAATTCAGTAATTGTTTGAATAGTCAATTGGATCTTGTCAAGATCATTTTTAATTATGTTTGCATCAAAATTTCGAATAAGCTCTTTATTTAATTGAGTATCAATCGGAATTCGAAGTAGAGGATGTATATCGGTAAACAAATGTTGAAAGCCACTAATAGATTCTGCATAGAGTTTAAGTATATCATCGATATGACATAGTTGGAAATCTTTGATTTCATATTGTTCTAATCGTTGATGAATATCATTATCGTGATCCATTGTTTCAGCAAATTGATATAGATTAAGAGATGATTTATCATCTCGATGATTTTTTAATGTTAATGCTATTTGTCTTAGAAGATTGTAAGCATGATAAAGTTTATCTAATAACATATCTTTTAAATAATTCCATTCACCCTCAAGTTGCTCATTACTAAGTGGAAGTAAATATTTTTCATCAAGATTTAAACTTTCTATATCATTTGTTGTTGTTGTTGCTTGATTTCGTTTTGTGTGACATTGATATTTTTGAATAATATGTTGATAGTTAATACGACAGAGAAGAAGAAATGTTCGAATAATCTGTGATTGAACATAGACAAAATCAAATTTTAATCGTGAATCTACAGTTAAGAAATCTTGTTCTTCATTATTAATAAGACTTGCTCGAGATAACTGTTCAATCCATAAGCAATTCTCGTCGTTCAGTGTAATAACACCGGTACTATCTTTTGCTACTTGTGAAATCGAAACTTCTTTTGATGTTAATTCATTAATCAAATTTTTCAAAACACCAACAGTATGAGTTTGATTGTTATTCAATTCTTTTTCGAGTAGATCCAATAAATTATTGTGATAGTCGACCAAGACACTAAATCAACAGAAGAAATTTATTTTACATAACACACTCGCAAAAATCAGGCTAACGCTCAATAAACTTTCCTTGTAGATAAATCTTAAAATTATTGAAGTTTATGCCAGCTAAAACTCTAGGAAATGGTAGAGATCTCGAAATCTCAACTGTCTTTCTTATAAGTATTTCAGCCTATATAAGACAGTTGAAATTTCGAATCACAACTCTCAAAAAATTTTCTAAGAAAGTCAAAAGACTTTGGGGTCAGAGAAAAAGTTTTTCCTAGTCGAGAATCATGTTGGGGTGGGTCGGTGTGGATGAGAGTGAGTGTGACTATGGTGTGAGACAATAACAACACCCACACCCACACTCTCAAAATTTTACCTGAGCATGCGCCTGATAATATCTCCTTCATCATAATTTTCGTTAGTAACTAAATAATTCACTGGTGTATCGAATGTAATCGTTGTAAAACGTTGAGTTTCATCACAAGCACCTGGTCGAATGAGACCATCAGCGAATTGATGATACATATTGACAGCATCGATTCCATTTTGAATAATCAAATGATGATTTTTACTCTCATTCTGATTTTGCTGATACTGAGAATGATTATAATGTTTTTCACCTCGATCGTACAATTGTTGTAATGTTATTGTTACAAATTCATTTTGATCAATTAATTGTGTGTATGTTTGATGTAAAAGAAGATAGAATTGACTAAGATCATATATTAATTTTGTCTTTTTTAAAAACTCCATAGAATCAAGAATATGACGTAAAATTTTAAGAGATGATTTTGAATGTATTTGACGATGTAATTCAGTTTTAAAATGTGTAAATTGAATAATAAGGGGCATTTGATCAGTAAAACTCTGGAGATTTGTTTGAATTTGGGATTTTAAATTTAATTGATTAATATAAGTTTTATATTCAGCTAGTTTTTCATAAACAAAATAAAATACTTCATTTTGATATTTTTCTTCAGCTTTAACTTGATCGTGTAATGTCGTGTAGACAGGTTTAATCCATGAATTGGTATTTTGTGTTAGAAAAGCCATTTGTTCAAAACAATGATTTAACAGAATACAAGCATCATCTGGATTTGATCGAACTGATAGCCAATGAAATGTTGATAATAATCTAGTACAAACAAAATTACAAACTTTAGCTCGAATACTATCACCACTAAGTCGATAAGTAGGTGTAATATCGGCAATAGCCGTTGGTGTGAGAATAGGACCATGTAAATTTTCAACGGATGTTTCAAATAATAATAAATGCCAAGCCTAATAATAAAACAAAAACTATAGATAATAAATGCTCATAAAAACTTACCAATGCACCAAATGTAGAAAAATAAGCAACATAAACTGCTGGAACATTCAATACACTTTCATTTCCTCTGTTTGCATACCGTATTAAATCACCATTTTGTGAAATGATACAACCACAATCGTAATGCACACCATTTCCTTGAATAATATTTATCGACGTCGAACCAAAACCTAATTAAAATAATGAAATACATCAGTTCAGGCCCGAGTCAAAAAACTTTGAGCCCGACGGATTCTACCGATATGGGCCAACGTCTCAAGATTCAATGTCAAACACCTGTTTGGCCAATCATTACGAGTTTTTTAGAGACTAAACATTCGAAATTTAATTCGAAAATTTCGAAAAAGTAATTATATAATCAGATTTTTCAGTTTTAAGAGAGTTCGTATAGATTCTCTAAAAAGGATGCTTACTATATAAGAAGAAACTCATTTTGATTGTCTAAAAGATATCTCTGAACTATACCTTGGGTCACAAAAATCTCACACTACCCCACGCCGCTTTTATCAAACTTTATCGAATGTTCTTACGTCTCTAAGTTCTCTGTACTGCATTTTATCTAGATATCTAATAAAATAATACTAACCAAAAGTATTCTCTAGAGCGAATGATTGAAATGCAAATGTCCAAAGAAACGATTGTTTACCACCTAATAAAATCATTGCCATTAAATTAACAAGCATATGACGTAAACCTAAGTCAAATTCATTTTGACAATCAAGTTTAAATAAATTATTAATAGAGTTATTATCGTTTTCTAATGAATATCCAATCATATATCGTTCTGGTTGTATAAGAATACAAAAAACTCGAAATTCTTCCGATGATAATTGTAAGACATTTTGAATTATTTCTAATAATGAACTAATTAACGTTAACTTATTATTACAATAATACTCATAATAAATATTTAATAATAACATTGATTTAATTTCATTTAATTTCAATTTAGCTGGATCAGAATTTAGTTTTAATTGAATCCAATCAGATAAAGATTTCCATTGATTTGGTTTAGTATTATCTCTAACACATATGTTAACTATTTCTCTTAATTCTTCATAGGGTTGATGAAGTTTTGGAAATATCGATGAATTATTATTTGTCGATAATGTAAATTGTATTCGATGACATAATTGTAAAGATTTATTCTGTTGAAATGTTTGATTTAATTCAAGTAAATCATATAAAGTCGTCGCCCACAGTTTATTCAAGTGTTGAATATAATCGGATTTTAATAAATTCAAAAGAAAATTCCACGATTGTTTCGATATAATTGTCGATAGAAAAAGTTGAAGATGATTACTAAATTGAATCGGTTGTTGATCGATCGATAAAAGTTCATTGATAGTTGTTGATAAAATAGGATTGATTGTGTTTTGTTCTTCACTTTGTAAATCTGTTTGACATAATAATAGTGCAATCATTCTTAAGCGAAAATAATCTTTTAATTGTTTAAAAAGATTTTCTACAAGAGGTAAAAAGAGTCTGTTTTCGATTTTAGGAATTTCTAATAACATTCCTTTGTTAATAACTTTAGAAGTAATTGTTTCATTATTCATTTGACGTCTGAGATGAAAGAAATATAAATCAAGTAATGTTTGTCTTATTGTAGGTCGATTATTATCGAGAGAAAATATCGATGGATGATATGGTATTTGATAGTTTTGAAGAAGATTAACATTTGTTAAACATTCGATGAGAATTGGAAGTAAATCTAAACGATCCCATATATCGAAAGTTTGCTTAGTTTGTTGTTTTAATTTGAGAGTAATATTAACTAATTCATCGAATAGAAATTGTTTCATTGATAAAGATAATTTACAAGTTGGTTGATCCAAATATTTAAAAAGAAAACAAATATCTTGTTTAGATAATTCTATCATTGATTTCAATATAGATATTATCCATTGTTGAAGGTCGATCATCAATGTCGAATTCTCAACATTTTTATTTTCCAAATATCGATAAATGATATCGATCATTTTCGGAAATAATCTTAGACAAATAGATGTTTGATTGAAGTTTGTTTCTCTAAGTAAATTTGATACTAATTCTTGTGGTTCAGGTGTTTTTTCATTCATCAAAATAAGATAAGCCAAATTCATAAATTCAATTTGATTTTTAATATCAATAAGTTGCATACTTTGTAAAACTTTTTCCGATGGATAATATTTCGAAATGAATGTGTAAGTATAAATCCATGCTTCACTATTCTCATGATTTGAACATAATTGACAAAGATTTTTCCATAAATAATCGAAGATTAATCGAAAAAATGTTTCACGTACATTTGAACGTGTTACATCATCGTCATTAAATAAATTCTCATAGAATGATCGTGTAGGATCAAGACGATCCATAATTCGACACGCTGAATAAATTGAAATAAGATCATTTTGATCATATTCTATCGAAGTATAAACATGAGCAAGAAGCCATAGATTTTTATTAGGATATGCATCTAGTAATTGTCGATCATTATCATCAATAAGTAATAACCATCGGCGTGAAACAAATTCAACTGTTTGTTGACATTGAATAATATCATTAGTAAAATTATTCTCAATGATTGTGCAAAATGTTCGAACAAGATCATTTGAATAAGAATAAAGAATACGTTCACAAATAATATCAGTTAAGATTTTATCGTTTAACATCGAATTAATTAATTTCGATCGGAATTGTTCGAATGTGTATTGAGTAGTTTCATTTTCATCGACAATAGTTATTGGTAGAATAGTATAGTAATCACGACGTAAGCCATCTTCGGTTTCTATATCAAGCAAATGAGTAATATTAGAAGAATTTTCTATTTCTAACGTGTTTTATCCTCAAGAGATTTTGTGACTGATATCTTGAGGGTGTGGGTGTTGGCTAATAGAAGAAACATCTGCGATCACACCCACACCCACACCCTCTGTTCTCTTCTTAAGCAAGGAGTATGATTTATCATAAATATATATATATTCTCCGAATGAAATACTAACCTTTATTCTCCGTTTGTTTGAGAATGAGTGTTAATTTAATCTCATCTGCATGCGATTTGATACGTTGATGAAATAAATGATACAATGGAGTTTGTGGTATGCAAGAATAATGCGTCACAAGTTGAAATATTCCTTGTGTTGTTGATGAAGAAAATATATCTTTATCATCATTGATAGCAAACGATTGATAATCAATTAGATTCATTAAGGAAGTAGAATTATTCTGATCTGTTGATAAATTTGGTAATGTTTCTAATCCATAATCATTGACAATAAATTTAAAAATATTTGAAACAAAATTTGTAAATGAAATTCGTGTTTGTGATTGTATCGAACCTATGAGACCATCGAAACGTTTTCCACAAAGAATATCTTTAGAAATTTGATAAATTAAATTATAAATTTTTTTCGAAGAATTTTTCTTAGTTAATAAATGTTCATGATAAATATTAACAATACGTTTTTGTAATTCTATCGATTGTTGAAGTATCTGTTTTAAACATTTAACACGACGCATTGTATTTGTTTGACGATTATAAAATTCATAAGCCATTTGATTTGTAAACATATCTTGTGGTAATTCAGGAAGTATAATTTGAATTCGAGAACAAAAATCCCATAGACAATCTTCGAAAAGAATATTCAAATCACATAGAATATTGTCAGTTGCTGGCTGTTGTTGATCATGAGATGATGATAAAATTCGTAACATTTTTTGCAGATGAAATGCACTTCCTGGTGCACATGTATCAAAGAAATAATAATCCCAATCTTTCAAAAATATAGATGGAAAACAGGATTGATGATACAAGTCTTGAGATGGAGAATGTAAAAGCATAAGAAAATGCTTTGGCTTCGTTCGATTGTTAGCATTGCAAGAGTATTCTGTTTTATCAATGAGTTGCCGAACGAAAGGTATATGTAAACGTTGCTGTCCGATTCGAGCATCGATTACAATAATTAATACATTTTTCGTCCGATCATTTTCATAGTTATGAAATTTCTCTTGCAACTCAACAGAGTTTTCAATTACACCCTAAAGAACAAGTTAACATATCGGTAATTATTTAAGGAAATATAAACTACAAGTGAATTTTATATGGAAGTTTATTATAGTAACTAACTGTAGACTTACCAAATTCAGTATTTCTATCGTTTCACTGGTGTTATTATCATTATTGAATAATTCATTTTTTGATTGTTGATTTAGACCAACAACATAAGATGATGTTCTCGTAAATATAATCACTTTTGTTGTAATGTTTATATTATTTGATGGTAATAATTCATGATTATCAACATCGATCAAAGGATTTAAAATTAATTGTGAAATAAAAGTTTCAATGTTAAAATGTTCTTGTTGTTGAAAATATAAATTACATAACCATTGTTCAACTTTTTCTTCAAATGCTGGCAATTTTAATATAATTGATTCAGGTGAAACGAGTTGAATTAATTTCGATAGTACTAATCGAAGAAGACATTGTTGAATATCCATAGGATTCTGTTCAATAAACGATTTTAATTTGATCGTTAATTGCGTATAATGTTGATCTACATTTAATAGAGAATGATCTCCATTATCATTTATTTGAATTAATGGTAGAAGACATGAATAAAGAGTACTTTCATTCAAACCATAAAAATATTCTCGTCCAAAATGTTGAATAAATGATTGGGATTTTTCTTCAACATTCTTCAAAATATACTGTTCGTTTTGAGGAAGTTTTTGCAATCGGATACGATAAAAATCATTAATACTTAATGAATATTTTTGAAAACGACTAAGAAAAGGTGGTGGAATATCTTTAAATTCACTTCGTTTAATATGAACAATACATTGAAAATCTTCATGCACAACTACATCGATGGTTTTTGGACCAATAGCAACTTTAGAAAAGATCTTTCTCATATCACCCGTTGCCATTATTGAAAAGTTTTGATTGAAAACATCATAAAGTGAACCATGTATTCGACCTGTATTGACCATTAAGATTGTTTTCCCTGTTTCCATGCATAATTTAATGGTGGATAAGATTTCAACATTTCGTAGTTCATTATTAATATCATCAGAAAAATCAGACATACGGAAGATAGTTGTTCGATTAAGATCAGAATCGATAATACCTGTTTGTAGTAGAAGATTAACTGCACTTTCATCTTCTGATTCATCAATAATTAATTTATAACGACCGTACAGACGTCGCCGTGTTGAATCAAGTTTCATTGATTCACGAAGAATAGTTGGAATATCACGAGAAGTTTTTTGCCAGTTGGATGGTAAACAAAAATAAGGAGATTTTTCTTTAATAGCATTAAAAAAGATACGAACTAATTCTTCAAATTCATTTGGTTTTATTCCATTAAAATTATCTTCCAATGCACGTAATAAACTAATCGGTTTAATAGTATTAATACTTATTTCCTGATTTTCTGTCGTTGTTAATAATTCAAAACGTAATTCTCTTAGCATATAAATAAAATCTCGATCATGAAAAATATGAGGAATATTTAAATTAGTCAGTAATTGACGATACCCTTGACAAAGTCCAAAAATAATATCATCGAAAGAATTTTTGTTAGTCACTTGTTGGTGGTTGATTTGTAAACCAAGACAACCATATGCTAATATTTTTTGATCATCTTTTGATGGTAATGATCGATAAATGCAAATCATTCGATTAGCATTAGCAGCATCGAATGATTTATTAGCTACAGCTACAAATGCAACTTTACATTCATCTAAATAAGGATGTAAAACTTTTAAAACCATTTTTTTCTCATCAGGTAATGATGCTTCATCCAGAAACACAACACATCGTGTATCAATTCGATTTTGTTGATATTGTTGTTCACGTTTGATAGCTCGATCGAATATATATGCAATATCTTCTGATCGACTGTATTTTGAACCAAGACAAAAGAATGGATCAATAGCTGGTAAACGTTTACAAAAAGATTTTGTTGATAATTGAGAGCCTTGAAGATTTTGTAACACAATTTGAAATGAAAGTGTTTTCGATTGACCTAAAATATAGAATATTCATTCGATCTTGGCACATCAAACGACTTACCAGGAGCACCAATTATACATAATGGTGTTCGAGTAACAATACTAACAACAATTGAAAAGATATGTTCACGAATCTAAACAATACTAACAACGATATAAAGAATGTAGAGTAATAGACTTACAGCTTGATTAACAGCGACTCCATGTGGAATAACAAAGTTATCAGTATTAACAAATTTGCCAAGCTCATTTTGTATAACGTCAACAAATTCTGGTATAGTTCGAGTAAGAAGTTCACCGAGTTCTTCACGTGATGGAGTAGTCGAATCTTTTCGTTGTAAATTATCTTCGTTTGTTGGAAGTCGAAAATAATAAATCAATGCTATGGATAAAGCAATACATCGTATTGGATTTGGCATACCATCATCTTCATCATATTTCATTTTCCAAAAGAAATCAATAAGATTGAAACATCTTTGAATTTCTCTTTGTGAGACAGAATTTCGTCCTAAATTAAATCAAAACATATGTACCATCAATCGAAATTAATTTCTTTGCTATTCATAAAGACTTAAGAAGAAAAAAAATTACCGAGACGTTCTTCACAGAATTGTTGTGCGTTAAGAATAGATTGAGCTAGAATTTCTCGTGCATATGCTTCTAATGGCATTTGTATTTTAGAATCCTCTGTTGAAACAATCGTGAATGTTGCTATTTTCTGTTTAATATAATCTTCCAATGTGTTTGTATCTAATACTCCATAGAAAACTTTTAAACTTTCTAATGATTGTGGTAATTCATGTACAAGATAATCACGACGATGAACTTGAAGATCATCCTGAGAATTATCTCTCGAAATTATTAATGGATTAATAGCTGCAGTGAAGAATATATTTTTTGGTAAAGTAAGTCCATGTAATGTTCCATCCATAAACATTTCTTTGAATAAACCAAGACATGAAGATGTATTGACTTCATCGAAAAAGACGACTAATTCAAATTTAGGTAATTGTTCAGCTAGTTGAGAAATAGGTGACATGAATTCTTCGATTTGTTCTTCAGTGACACCAGGATGTAGAAGCAAACGATAAAATAATGGTTTAATTCGAGTATTAACTACGAATTCATTAAAAATCTCAATCGATTTTTCGACTGTTGGTACATGTGAGTCTTCCAGTAGATTTTTTAATCGAAGACTAATATCAGTTAATGGAGAATCTATTAATTGTAATGTTACAAAATTATGTAATGCATTAATAAGTTTTTTAGTAATATTTCTTGCATAGTCATTCGACATATTAATAATTGTTTTCCAAATATTTCTTAGAATAGTATCATTATATTCAAAATTTTGTAAAGATAATTTTATTTTTTTCAGTAACTCATGATTAACAGGTTCATCTTGTATTTGAAATAGATCTTCGTCTATATCGTCTTCTTGTTTCATGAAGTGAGGCAGATTAGTATTTAATACACTTTCTTCGTCGATCTGTGTTTCCTCTTCATTTAATTTCGATTCGATTTGCAGAAGAAATAAACTTAATAATCTCGGCTCTTCTTCTAAAATATTACTAATAATGTCTGTTAATAACCATAAACTTGTACGTTCAAGAATTCGTGGAATAATATTATTATCAAGTTTACCATCAGTTATATTCGCATTAAGTAATAAAGAATAAAATGTTAGGAGAAAAGTTTTACCAACACCTGTTTCACCTTCAATAATCAACCCTAATTTAGTTAATTTTCTTTCATGAATATGAAAAAGTTTATAAACAAAATTTTCTGTTAAAATAAATTTTGTTGTTTTCATTATTCGTTTGAATGTATCGTAAGAAATATCAATTAACCATGATAAACATTTGATAAAATAGTCGTTATCTTGATATTCAGGTCTTCTTGATCTATCATAATCATCGAAAAGAATTTTTAATGTATGCGGAACATTATTCCAATTATTATGTAATAAATGTAATGAAAATTCTGGATCGTAAACAAGATAAACACGAGGATAATTATTTGTAGAGAAGTTTATTTGAGTAAGATATTTAGCTTCATCAATCATTTGTGCCATAGCTATTGAACCGAGTTGTTCCATAGTCATGTTATAACAATAATAAAAACCAGTAAAAAATCGAATACGACGATATAGGAATTTTGTAAATGAAAGTTCAAAGATTTTATTTCTGGGCATTTCAGGTGCATATCTTTCAATACAATTGTAAATATATTGACGACATTCGTTATGATCTGTTAATGGATTAAATTCTACGGGTTTTTCAACACCATGACGAGATATTGTTAGACGTCGATCAATCGATTGATTTTCATAAGCTTTAAGAAATCGAGCAACAAGTTCTTCTTCTTCTCCAATAAATAATTGATAATTAGTATCTGTTACTTCTTCTAAAGTTGTCGGTGATATAATCGAAAGTAATGGTAATATTTGTTTGAAATTATCTTGAATTGTGAGATTACATTTAGTTGTATAAGGAATTTCGATAATAAATCTCCATGGTCTGGTTATCGATGATGAAAATGTCAGACCACTGCTGATATCATTCAGTGAACCACATACAAATAAAGAAAAAAGCGTACGATTTAATTGTTCAAATGGTGCATGAATAGAAATATTGAAATAGATAGATGGTTGAATATTTAATGTTTTTGATTCAAATGATAAAAATGAACTGATTAATGATGATAAATTTAGTTTATCATTAATACTAACACATGATATATCAAGATCTTTATAATTTGTTCTGATTCGATGAGTTTTACCTATAGAATAAAAAGAGAATTATAAAAGAGGTACTAAAGAGATACATACCAATTCCAGCTGTTCCATAGATCAGCTGAATTTGTGGTTGTGGAAAATTATTTCGTCGAAATAATGTCATCAATTGAGAATAAGTTTGAGAGGGATTTCGATATTTAGGTGTTATAATAAATGGTCGTAAGCCTTTTCTACAAGAAGTTAATTCTCGTGAAAAATAATAAATTGGTGCATGAGGTTCAGTTTGTTTTGCTAATGAATCTTGCTCATTTAATAAGAATTCTCGAAGTCGATGATGCATTTTATCCATATCCATAACGGCAAATGTTAAATAACGGAATGTTCGTACACGTGAAAAAAATAATCGAATATCATCTTCAGTTGAACTGGAACACCAAAGAATTTGGTAATCAGCCGGTAATCGATCAATAAAAATATTCAACAAAATACAGAATGTATCCATATCGAAATCATTCTGAAATTTTCCTTTATCTGACGTTCTTTCTATTGAATTTAATGTAACAAGAAATTGTTGATTTTCATTGATTGTTGTATTTTTTGTTGATAATTCTTTTCCATTGTTAAATAGTTCTTTTAAAAATTGACATAATTGTTTTAGATTTGTATCCGTAGGAGTACCATATTCTATTTTATACTTATTGTATAAATGTATTATATTGTTTTCGGATAAATTACATTCATTGATTCTCAACGATTGTAAATAATGACTTAAAAAGCGAATAGTTAATTTAAATTGTTCATCTTTTTGATTGTCTGTTAAGAATATTTTCTCTAGAAACTTTCGCTGAATTTCATTTTGTGTTGTTAATAAAATTATCATAATCATTATTTGATGATTTGAGAATAATTTCAACAATCGACTTTCCTGTCGATATTTTTCCAAATATTTTATCCACATATCATAATCTGTTTCAAGGTTACGATAGATCAACTCAAAATATTTTGTTCGATTTTTAATTGAAAGTTCAAGTTGTTGTTCATTATTATCCTGATTATTTCTTACTTCAGATAATATTTTATTGATATCACCTATAAACAAAATATAATAGATAAAAAAAACGACATTTGAAACCTTACCAAATCGATCATGAATTTCATAATTATCTTTTCTTAATTGAAAATTTGGATGGCCTGCTGTTTCAAGTTTGACAAGAATTAAATAGATTTTTTCGATAAGTTTTAATAATAATAATTGTTCATTTAATAATATCTTTTTGTAAATCATGTTTTGCTGTACATCAACATTACAAAATGTTAATTGACGTTTATGATCATCAATATCAGCCATGGATAATGTGAATTTAATTTTTTCTCGTTGTTGAACTTCGTCATCCGCTTCATATCCTAATTGTTCATCACTGTCAGAATCATTTGTTTCTTTGATTGGTGCAGATACTTTGTCAATTGAATATTCAATTTCAAAATACGATTGTGTATTCATTAAACGTCGAAGATGAATGTTTACAAAACCTGTTTTATATATATGTTCCATAGTAATAAGAGCATTATCTAACATTGTTGTTTCTTCTGCTGATAACCACATATTTACAATCTGTATATTGTCATTGACAACTACAATAAAAAAGTTGATTAAAGTAATTTATGTTCAATGCTAGCTCAGAATTTATTCGCAACCAGAAGAACGTCATGTCACGAGCAGGGTGTGGGTGTGGGTGTAGGTATTAATTCATAACTACGCTAAGATGCACACCCACACCCTCAAGATAGGTTTCTTCTTTGGATTCTATCTGATTTTTTGTAAAATATTTAGTTAATCATTTTACCTTTAATATGTTCCAATGAGCTTTCATCAATATTTGCTAACTGAGCAAGTTTATCTACAAACTCTTCTAATGTATTGACTTGAAAAATAAATGGTTTACATAAAGCATATGTAATAATCCATGAATTAAGAATCATACTATTTCGTTCTTGCAACTGAAATTGTGTTGTTAAATTATCTCGTAATTCTTGAAATCGACGTAATCCATGAATTGAATATAAATCTGATTGTTTCATCATCTGAACTACATTTGAACATTCTCCGAATGTTTTAATTAATTGTAAATGTTGACTTGTTAACTTTTGAAAACGTTGATAAAGATCTATATTAGTTTGTGATATTTCTTTTAGAGAACAATTTGTATTTAAAGTTAGTTGTTGAAGATAATCAAGAGATTCATCATTATCATCATTAGATATAATATTAAATTTTTGTACGCAATCAATGATAATATTGACATAACTACAGCACTGATAAGTCTTTAGCCATTCGCAAACTTGTTCAATTTCTTGATCACTTGCAATATTCAACATAACAGTTGTTGTCGTTTCTTGTTTATTATTTATAGTTGAACGATTAGCAAACAATTTCTGAACTTCTTCTCGAATATTAATGTTTTTATCATGAAAAACGCTTTTGAGATAATCCATCTGTTGTAAAGTGACATCACCATCTAAAAGTTTATCAACAAACGAAAAAGTTTGATCGATCAATTTACTCAATTCATTTTCTTTAATTAATTGCGTCGATTGCTTAAAATATCTTTGATAATACATATTAAAAATACCATGAAATAGATGACATGTTGCTAAACTAACTTGTTTTACACGATACCGTATAATACGTTGAGTGTGTGGATTTTGATTGTCGATTATCATTACTAGATTACCATTTCGTTGCGTTTTAAATTCACCTTGTAGAACTTGTTTATCAAGAGGAACATCTTTTTTACAAAATAATTCTTGTGTTTGATTTTGTGACCCATTCATTCGATATTCTACTGTAATATTGCAATGAAGATGTGTACTTACGAGTGACCAATGAACATGTCGACGATCATTAATCGAAATGCATTGTTCGTGTCGAGTGTTACAATCAACTGTGAACATACTATTTGGATATAAACTTTTTAGCTCTGCCATGTAAGGGTGAAACTGATCTCGACTGCTTAATGCACTATCGCCGACAATTTCAAATAATTGTAGAAAATTAAATAGATCACAAAAACGTTGAAGGTTGTTGAATGGTTTTAGTATTTTTATGATTTTTAGAATTATTGTTTTTATTTTACCGATAGTAATTGAATCATCCCTCATCATATGAATATCGTTCAATAACTGATCAGCACCGTCCATTCTCCAAAGTTTAAGCCATTCGAGTATATGCTGAAAGATGTCAGTTAGTTTATCAAACCATTGCAGCCACACGTTCACTTGTAATATGAAATTACGAAAGTAGTGCTCATTCGATTCTGCGTTGGTTATATCGATATCATTTGGTTTCTGATTAGAAACAAGTGAATCAATTTGTTTTGTTGTAACAGGGAATTTATATTGTTGTGGATCATGTGAAGTCAAAATACTATTCAAATCGATTTGAGGAAGAAATTGATAAACGATTGACTGATCCGATAATTCGCGATATATGCTACGTGTACCTATAACAAAAATCGTTGATTACATGAGGCACTAGGATTTAACTGACTTTTCAATTTTCAAAAAACGAGTATATATTACAAAACTAACCATTCAGAAGTTATGAAATATCTTTCAGAGGAAGAAAAACTATGCATTTTGTTCTGATTGGTAGATAAATTACATCATGATTGTAACTTTGAAATAGAATATTTGTTCCATAGGGGTTATAGTCATGACTTTGGACTCAGACTAAACAATCACCGGAATTTCTAATCGGGCCCGAGACAAGATCGAGATCAGGACTCAATAGAATCGTAAATGATATAAATATTAAATAAGATTTTAGTTGATCGAAAATCGTTTCTGATCTGATTAGAAGTTTTCCTTACCATTTAATAATAAGACGTCTTTAATCGATTGTTTAACATTATCAACGAAATTATCCACTGCTTTTGTATCAATTAAATGTGGTGGTGCATCTTCTCTAATGCGTAGAATATATTGGACAATTGATTCGATATTTGAAAGTAACAATGGAGATGTGATCTGCTTGTTAATGATAACTTCGAATATATTTCTTACAAAAATAATTGTTAAAGTATTGTTAACAGTGCAAGTATCATGGTTAACTTTTGTCAACCATTCGTTCAATTTTACGAGTATTTCATTCGGTTTAGTAATTTCTGATCTTAACAAACCCAAGTTTACAATTTTTGACCAAATATAAATTGACCAACGATTATTGTGATGCATTTCACAAAGACTTTGATAATTATGTTTGGTTAGATTTAACCAATCGTGAGGAATACGAAAAATATATTCGATTAACCAGTCATCTTGAATAATTAAAGCAGGATCATTTGCTTCGCATAAAATTTCATTAAGATTATCCAACCTTTTGAATAGACACTTGAGTTTTTCAAACTTATTCGTTGTTTGTCTATCTAATTTAAATAATAAATGTCGAATAATAAGTAAATATGACGGATTTTCAAGAATATTTGACACCAACAATTCGAGACTGGTATTTAAAAATTCCTTCAGATCTGATTCTGTGAATTTATACGAATACTGGTCATCATGAAGTTGTTTATTTAGAAATGCATAAAGTACTCTTTCGAATATTTTCAAAAAAGGTGGTCGCTTTTCATCGTTGATTTCATTTAAACAATCTTTGGCTAATTTAGTATATTGTTTAAAGTCTTCAATTGATATATGGTCGATTCGTGGGGGTAAAATCAAAATGAGATGCTTTTGCATTATTTCATTCAGATCACCGATTTTACTTAGACATAAAAACATGTTCCATACGTCCTGTGAAGAACTATATGCCGTATAAGCTGAAAAATAGTTACCAAATAGATCATCTCGTGAACCTAACGATCGAAGTAGCCGAGCAATATGTGAAAATTCGTAAAACTTTTGTTTTATATTTTGTGTAAATAGGCCTTGATAACGATCAAAGAACATTTTATGATCTAAATTTAATTTGCTAAGCATATCTTGAATAATCTCAAACGAAGATATATTATAATGCTTTGATGGATGAATACTATAGATAAGATGCATAAATGCTGGTATATCGAGAGGGAATTGTTCAAATGCCTGTTTGTGTTCAATGTAAATCCGAATAAAATCTGTTAATGATATTCTCCATTGATTTATTTTTGATAATACTTCGATCCACTGCAAACGACCGTGCTCATCAACGAGTAGTGACGACTGAAAAGATAATTTACAAAGAACAAGGAATATATTTACTTCTGACACATCTTTGATTTCCGTGATCTGTGCCAAATGTAGTCGAATGTTCATTCCTTTTATTTGATCTCTGTTTGAAACACAAAGATTTGGTTTCAAACCTTTTGTAGAGTTGAATACATGACATAATTGCTCGAACAGTTGCCTTTGAAGCTCGTATGTTTGATGATTGTATCCTTTCGCCAATCGAATGTATTCTGTAATTCGACGATAAATATAAAAATATGCATCAACACGCTGAGAAAATAGTTCTAAATGCTCGGGTGATGTCAAACTCATTATTGTACAATGATTAATAAATTCAATGTCATCGGAAAAGTTGTCGTTTTTACGAGTCTGATTCGATTCATCATAATTCGAAAAATGACTGAAGACAAGATCAAAAAATGCTTGTCCTTCACTGTTATCATCGAAGACATATCCTATATGCTTCGCTAACTCCGATACTGTCTTCTCTCCATTTAGCCATTTGGCAATACGTTTAAATATTTGTACCATTAAAGGACGATTAAATCATAGAATGATAGATAATCTAAAACATACAAACAGATGTTTATGATGAATATAAGTGAACAAAAGAAAAAATAATCAAAATCCCTTTTATGAAAATGCTAAAAATAAGATATAAATGACGTGAGAGATCTCGAATGCTTGATAACTAATAAAAAAATCAGATATCAACCTCAAATAGCTTCTCATTCTTTCTACTTCGTTATGTGAATAAAAATTGAATGATTTATTTATAATAGATTATAGGAAACTCCAAATAAACGAAACTACCATTGTGAAAAAAATTATAAAGAACTAACTTTATCTCATCAAATGCACGATGTTATAAGCAAGGATATCTTGTCTATACGTAAAAAATGTTTTTTTTTCGAAATGTGGTGTGCGTGTGTTTCATGTTGTTCTTATCTTCGCTGTTGCCAAACAAGTAACTTCAACCTGTTTTTTTAATATTTTTTCATATTGACACGGTTGCTTATAAAATTCAACCAGACAGAGAAAGAAAAAAAATGGCATTTACGCGTAAAAGCGCACGTTGTATCGGTTTAAAATTCTTGCGTTCTTTGAAAGAAAATGAGTTTGTAGATGCTTTTCTCCAGTATAAAGCAAATATTCTCAGACAGACAACTATATTAGTTTTTACCAAAATTAGTCATAAAACATGGTGACAGATGTTCTATATACTTCGTTTTTTGTATACAAATTATTCGCACTAAAACTTTGAAAAAGGGTCAATATTTTCCCCAAAAAACTTGACAAACTTTGCGCAATTAAACGTAGGGTGTGGGCGTGGATATAAAATGAATATCATACACACGCACTCTTTGTAGAGAATTTAAAACACCGTCTTTTGATAAAGAAAAATGTCTAAACTGATTGCATAGTAGAAGAAAAATATTCAAAATACTGAGAGGTCCATTATTCTTGCGGCACCCGTTGCTTTTAGACAAGATTTATTTAGAAAACTATCTGTCGATCGAAAAAAAAATGTTTTTTGACTTTATTAACTGATTGAGGATCTATAGGCGGCAGTACGAGCAGAACAAATATGTCAATCTTTATCATTAGTAATTTAAATCAACCGATCACTGCTAAAAAACAGAAGAGAATTTGTCTGTAAACGTGCTTATTGGAGCTCGTATTTTTTTTTTGAATGCTTTTTTTCTGTTATTAAAACATGTTACATTATCAATAAATCAATAAGACAACAGACGTGTCATATGAATCTCTGATTTAAAGTTGATAAATATATATATATTTCTATTGATGCTCATTTGCAATTGAATATATTAAACGAGAAATATGTCATTACATACAGTCGTTATAGATCACAAATTAAAACCAAAGAAAACGCAATTTTCATCAATTCAATCAAAAAAATCGGTGAAAAAGTATTGGTTAAATAACATACAAAGAGGAAATAATTCGTTCAGTCGATCAACAGAAAAATATGAGTCATTATACACAATTGCTAATGGTCTACATACGGATCTATCTTCGAATGCCATTCTTGAATCATTTCTTTGGGCTTACTATCGACATCATGATATAGTTCTTTCACCTGATGATATGTGGTTATTAGTATGTATGTTTTTTGCTCAGCATGTTAATGATAATGCCGAACAACTTCGATCAAATTTTGTTGAACATAATGAAGGAAAAATAACGTTAACTATATGTGATTTCAATGACAAATATGACTGGGATGACTTTTATGATCAAATGAAAAAAGAAGTTGTACAAAATACAAAGAATAATATCTGTCAATTACTAACAGCTGATTTTTCTACAACTGGAAAAGTCGAATCAATTCTGTCCACTGCATGTATTATGAATACATTTAAATTTTACTTTAAATATCAACGCGAAATATGCATCTGTGGAATTCGACAAGTACATTTCATGGGTAAAATACATAATCTATATTCGTACACCATAGTCTTATTTTACTTCTGAGTTTATTTTTATTATTTGATATTTAAGGTACATTAAATGATTGGCAATCTCTTCGTATTAAAACTGAACAATTGAAATTATTTAGTAATGATCAGTTTCATGGATATTTGAACGGTGTATTGTCAATTTTCGATCAGTTTATCGAAACCTACAAAGGTAATGTCAATCATAACTTTTGGATTAAAGTATGCGATGTTAAACGAAAAACAATACCAGACATTAATCCGTGCGCTCCCTTTCAGCTCTCCTTATTTCCAAAACGTATACCCATAGAGATGCTTACTGGATGGGTAGTGCAATTGTTTGGTTTAGAAGAATTCATAATTGAATCCGATGAAGATGATTCGATTCTACCATGTATTAATACACCAGTAGATTTGCTAGATGGAAGAAACGGTACAAGTGATCAATGTCACATTGTTGGAGGATTTCATGGAATCTATTCGACAGAAAATCGTTACAAACCTGTAATGAGTGTGTCAGTTATTCAGATGTTCAAGTCAAAACCACAAAAGCATATCTTTAACGAAGAAGACTGCACAACATATTTATAGATTTTAATTATTCATTAAAACAAAAGAAAACTGATAAAGATCTTCTTTGAACATTTTAACATTATTCTTGCTTTAAGTTTTTCGAATAAATGTTGTTTTTATTTTTAAAGATAAACACGATTTTTTTGGCTTTATAAATGAATTATACGAAAATCATTGACTATTAATTTAACATAATTGTTTGGAATTGTTTCCATTGTATATTATTTTATAATGAAATATTGAAAACTCTATTAGTCAATGGATAGAAAAATGACGGTTTTTTTATTCACAAAAAACTAATTAAAGAACATGTCAAATTTCACCCTTGTTTTATTAACCGACAATTCAGTAGATTTTAGTTTAATAAAAAAAAATATTGTTCTTTAAATTTGTAGGTTATTTTGTTCAGTTTGTTGATAAACTTTCTAATATTAGCTTGGTTTTCTTTCATTTGAGTTTGCGTAATCATTCAGCGGATGCTTATTATTTTCATTTGCTCGAATAACATAATTGTCTTGTAGGCGTTTCAGTTTAATTTTACGAAGATACATTCCATTATCATCTTCGCTTGAACATCTATATTCGTGTGTGGAAATTTTTTGCACCTTGTTTTTATTGATATTTAAATGTTCAAAAAGTATATCTTTATCAATTCTGATCGACTCGAATAACGGTTGACCATGTCGACTTGAACGACCTAACAAGCAAACAAAATATTTAGTGAATCATACAACTTTTCAAAAATGAGCCATCTTTCTGCTCCCACTAAATTGTCTTTTATCGGATATATATCCCTTTTTTTAAAGGACGACATATCTAAAATCACAAAAAAGAAATTTATATTTCTTTGTTTAATAAATCTCAGTTTCCTTCAAACTTTCAATATTTAAATGACTGTAAAGCTATTCTTATGTATACTATATACTTTGTAATCAGCGTTTTAACGAAATAAGAAGTTAAAGGAAAACATGGAAACTATTAAAGAAGCACAATTGATATCGAAAATAGAAAGATTTTATTAAACGATGATTCATACAAAATCATAGTCAAGAGATTGATCATATTACTCTTTGAGAAAATAACAAAAATTTAGAATAGATGACTGAACTGTATGTATAATTGTCATTGTTTCTCAACCAGGTCTAAGCTCTCTATTCATCGGAATATACGGTTGAACCGACAAGATAAAAATATATTTGTTAATTACACGATCAAAAAATAAAATACCTGGCAATATAAATTGTTCTCTATTACTGGTGTTAACGTTTCACGATCTCGTTGCTCAACTGGTACTAAGAAACAGTTCTTTGATGTTGTATCTATAGCGTCAAAACCTATTGTTGATATTGCATAATACGTCAACGATTATACTTCCGCTTGCCAAAGCAACTCTCGTCCATCTCTATAATATGGCTTCGTCCTAAACAATTTCTTAATTAGTGTGAGTATTAAATATCACAACTTACCACCAACTTGATGAGGATTGTTAATATAATAAATTGCACACATATCTCGACAAAAATGACGCCAATCAATAATAGTGTACTTAAAACAAATCTCTAATTCGTATTGTAATTTAATTAATGAATCGTCCTGTTTAGCCCTAGTAATACATCAAATCAAACAATGTTTGTAAGGATAAATGAGAACCCGAGAAAAAAGTACCATGTGGAATTAATTTTGTTGACTTACATTTACGGCAGCGAAAAGTATATCCTACAATTTTATTATTCAATAAATGAAATAAAATCATTTAGAATAGACACACGGTAATAATTAAATTGTACCTGCATGTGTCTCTATTAGCTTATGTAGCTTTCTCATATTCTTGAGGGGTAGACACAAGCTCTATATATAGTTCCTTTTTTGCAACAGATTTTTTAAATTCTACTATTCAAAAATATGTTCCTCTTTTATTTTAATTGAGCTTAATTTAGTTAGAAGTATTGCGATTCTCTTTAAGTGTGTTATTTCGCTTGATTATTAGAACAATTAGATTTATCAAAATTGTTTCATTCGTTCTCTTATGTTATCTACTTCTTTCATGTTATTCTCATTCGAAATTAGTTAATCAATACGTCAATTGAATGTTTTCTCTATTCTGTTCATATATTACAATGGATAGTGTTATTAAAATCCAGTTAATTGTATTCCAGACTGATGCTTCACTTTGACAGTTATTAATTAAAAATGAAAAATGAATGTTTCTTTTTATTCACAAAAAAGTATTTAGACTACAAGTCAAATTTCAGTCTTTTTTTAATAAACGACAATTAATCGAATTTTCGTATAATATAAAAATCATTGTTTTTCAAACTTGTTAACATCCTTGGTAATCTCGTTTTCATTTTGAAGGAATTTGTAGGTGATTTGTTCAGTTTCTTGATATCTTTTGTCAATCCTTTTCGACTGGCCTTTCGGAATTTTCATCGTTTTTTTTAAATACTTTATTTGCGCCATGATATTGAATTACACGTTCATCCTAAAATAAACAATAAAATCCCAGGTCGAACAATCCGGCACGGAAATGGCCGGTTCCAACCGAAAACGGTGAGTTTCCTCAGGGTTTTCGCCGGAAGTTCATGGAATACTACTTCAAAAATAATCGACCCGGTTCATTTTCTTTGCGAGGAAATTTGCACATGTTCTGGTTGAATTTTTCTTGTTTTTGAATAAACTTGTAGGGTATTTTGTTCAATTTGATTTTCTTTCATTTGAACTGGCGTAGTCATTCATTGGAAGCGTATTATTTTCGTTTGTTCGAGTAACATAATTGTTTTGTAGACGTTTCAGTTTAGTTTTACGAACATACATTCTATCATTTTCTCTTGAAGATTTATATTCATAATAAACTAATTGAATAATAGCGATTTTCCTAAATCCATTTAAGTGGAATAATTAAAAATTTTATTTCAACGTTTCGGCTTCTTAAAAAGAGCGAGTGTGTGTGGAATGAATATCAGGTTATCTTTATATTGGCACAGACCCACCCACAAGATGCATATTGTTTTAAGATGTAAAATGTGTCTTTGTTACGATATTGTGACACTGGTGAGTCAGATATAAAAATTTAATTTGTCATGTTTGTATTCACATCACTTTTAAATAAGTCCAATAAATGTTGTACTGCAGTCCACGCAGCTTCGAACATATGATTAATATTATCAGATACTGAAACAAAACTAAAGCAGTCATCTTTTTTCCATACATAACCACTTAAGATTGAGATATGTTGTTCGTAATAGTATGATGCTAAAAGAAATGAACCATGTAATACAATCAATAGAATGCGATTCCATTCTGATACTAAGAGCACTTAAGCTTTAACACTGGGATCGATTAATCAATCACTCACCTTTTTCTTGTCATGCTTGTTTCAGTTTGTAGTTCTCGGATCAATCCAATTGTATTGTAATTGTATCTTTCTGTTCCGTAGCCATGTGTCTTGCCTGTTTTTCAGCTCGAAATTGTTGACGCACACGATCAATATGTGATACTAAGGATGTGGGTGTGAATGTTTTATTAATCATACATTCTCAGTTCTATCTAAACCCTCTTTCATACCCTCACTCACACCCAGTTCATCCAAATTTAGATTATAGAAATATATGAAATGATAGGATTTTGTAGAATTTATCGACTCGTGGTCTTCAAAAAAAATGAATGAGATTAAGAGTATAGTTTATATTTCCAATGCTAATTTCAAGGAAAAACAACACAATTTAAAATCTAGTTCTCATAAATTAACTAAAGTAAGTGATTGGTCTTTTATATCGTTTACACAATACTTATTAATCTTCAATTCAGTGCAGCAAATTCGTATAGGCATAATATTTCATAGGAGTTCCAATATCACAAGATAATCTTTAGTTTAAATATTTGATTAAGTAATCAACATCTGACTTAATAAAAATTTATAGTCATAGACAATAACAACTCACGTCTGGCATTATTTTTTACAAAGTCAATCTTGACAAAAGAAGCGAGTGAAACATTTTT